AATACGCTTGTTGATCTTCCCAATTCAATGTAAAGTTTAACCGGGGTGGGAGTTTAATATTCCCTAATACCCTTGTTAGTGGGAGAACCTCCACAGAGTCAACCCCTAACTTGGTTGACCCTCTGGAGGCCCCTCCACCGGGTCCACGTATTCGGAGTTCGGAACGTACTTGTACAGAACAAAAAACGATACTTTATGTATACTTAGTAGAAATCACAAGGTCAACAACTAACCAAAAACATTAGTTTCTGTGGACCCGGTTGGACTTTATGTAAACTTGCTAGAAATCACAAAGTCAACAACTAACCAAAAACAATAGTTTCTGTGGACCCGGTGGGAGAGCCTCCACAGAGTCAACCCCTCACTTGGTTGACCCTCTGGAGGCCCCTCCACCGGGCCCACCTATTCGGAGTTCGGAACGTAATTGTACAGAACAAAAAACGATATTTTATGTATACTTAGTAGAAATCACAAGGTCAACAACTAACCAAAAACATTAGTTTCTGTGGACCCGGTTGGACTTTATGTAAACTTGCTAGAAATCACAAAGTCAACAACTAACCAAAAACAATAGTTTCTGTGGACCCGGTGGGAGAGCCTCCACAGAGTCAACCCCTCACTTGGTTGACCCTTTGGAGGCCCCTCCACCGGGCCCACGTATTCGGAGTTCGGAACGTCATTGTACAGAACAAAAAACGATACTTTATGTAGACGTGGCGGAAGCGCCTCCACAGCGTCAACAACTAGCTCAGTCGACTCCCTGGAGGCCCGTCCAACGAGTCCGCGTGCTGACAACACGGTATACCTACAAGAATAACGATTCACCAACAACAAGCACACAAACATTCCAGCTGCTTGGGTGAGCTTTTCAAACTCCAAAAGTTTCTTCCCAACCGATTCTTGTCCAAAATGCTTACCTTATACATCTAACGTTAGAAATCGGCAAACTCTTCAACGCAATTTCCACGAAGTCATGAATCCGCTTGTTGATCTTCCCAATTGAATGTAAAGTTTAACCGGGGTGGGAGTTTAATATTCCCTAATACCCTTGTTGATCTTCCCAATTGAATGCAAAGTTTAACGGGGGTGGGAGTTTAATATTCCCTAATACCCTTGTTGATCTTCCCAATTCAATGTAAAGTTTAACGGGGGTGGGAGTTTAATATTCCCTAATACCCTTGTTGATCTTCCCAATTGAATGTAAAGTTTAACGGGCCTGGGCGTAGTAGTAGTAGTAGTAGTAGTAGTAGTAGTCGTGGTGGTGGTGGTGGTGGTGGTGGTAGTGGTAGTGGTAGTGGTAGTGGTAGTGGTAGTGGTAGTGGTAGTGGTAGTGGTAGGGGTAGTGGTAGTGGTAGTGGTAGTGGTAGTGGTAGTGGTAGTAGTGGTAGTGGTAGTAGTAGTAGTAGTAGGAGTAGTAGGAGTAGTAGTAGTGGTAGTAGCAGTCGTAGTAGTAGAAGTAATAGTAATAGTAATAGTAATAGTAGTAGCAGTAGTAGTAGTAGTAGCAGTAGTAGTAGTAGTAGTAGTCGTCGTCGTAGTAGTAGTAGCCGTAGTAGTAGTAGTAGTAGTAGTAGTCGTCGTCGTCGTCGTCGTCGTCGTAGTAGTAGTAGTAGTAGTAGTCTTCATAGTAGTAGTAGTAGTAATTCTCATAGTAGTAGTAGTAGTAGTAGTAGTAGTGGTAGTGGTAGTGGTAGTGGTAGTGGTAGTGGTAGTGGTAGTGGTAGTGGTAGTGGTAGTGGTAGTGGTAGTGGTAGTAGTAGTAGTAGTAGTAGGAGTAGTAGGAGTAGTAGTAGTAGTAGTAGCAGTCGTAGTAGTAGAAGTAATAGTAATAGTAATAGTAATAGTAGTAGCAGTAGTAGTAGTAGTAGTAGCAGTAGTAGTAGTAGTAGTAGTAGTCGTCGTCGTAGTAGTAGTAGCCGTAGTAGTAGTAGTAGTAGTCGTCGTCGTCGTAGTAGTAGTAGTCTTCATAGTAGTAGTAGTAGTAATTCTCATAGTAGTAGTAGTAGTAGTAGTAGTAGTGGTAGTGGTAGTGGTAGTGGTAGTGGTAGTGGTAGTGGTAGTGGTAGTGGTAGTGGTAGTGGTAGTGGTAGTGGTAGTGGTAGTGGTAGTGGTAGTGGTAGTAGTAGTAGTAGTAGTGGTAGTAGTAGTCGTCATAGTAGTAGTAGTAGTCGTCATAGTAGTAGTAGTCGTAGTAGTAGTAGTCGTCGTCGTCGTCATAGTAGTAGTAGTAGTAGTAGTAGTCGTCGTCGTCGTCGTAGTAGTAGAAGTAGTCGTCGTCGTAGTAGTAGTAGTCGTCGTAGTAGTAGTAGTAGTCCTCATAGTAGTAGTAGTAATTCTCATAGTAGTAGTAGTAGTAATCCTCATAGTAGTAGTAGTAGTAATTCTCATAGTAGTAGTAGTAGTAGTAGTAGTAGTAGTGGTAGTAGTGGTAGTGGTAGTGGTAGTGGTAGTGGTAGTGGTAGTGGTAGTGGTAGTGGTAGTGGTAGTGGTAGTGGTGGTAGTGGTAGTGGTAGTGGTAGTGGTAGTGGTGGTGGTAGTAGTGGTAGTAGTAGTAGTAGTAGTGGTAGTAGTGGTAGTAGTAGTCGTCATAGTAGTAGTAGTCGTCATAGTAGTAGTAGTCGTAGTAGTAGTAGTCGTCGTCGTCGTCGGCGTGCTTGCGTTACAAACAGTCGCACCTTCTCTTGCCTCTCCCTCCTGTCTTTCCCCCCCTACCTTTCGTCCCCCCCTCTCAAGTGTAGCGTATGGATACGGTACCCTCTGGTAATTCAACAGTTTGCTATGGGGATTTGCCCATTTTGTTCCATGGTTTACCTAGTTTACCGTTTACCTATTGATAAAATTGTGATTTTCTATAGCAAACTGAGAGTGCACCGGAAGGTACCACACATATTCACATATCATATATGACTTTGTTGGTTACATACTTACACATCATATATCATATATCCCATTATTTATATATTTCATGGACATATCCCATAGGTAATTAATCCATATGGTCTCCTTACATAATCCATCTGGTTTGTTTTAAGCTTCCGAAGTCCCAACGTGAGCCACCGCAGCCCACGGTGACTCAACCTCGAAGAGGTTTGTGGGAGTTACCATGGGTGGGTTTTTTACCCATGGAAATTGCCATGGGAATTACCATGGTAATTATGCCATAGATTTCACCAGATGAATCTTCGGCCATAGATTCTGTTTTTGGCCTTATATATGTTTGGTTTGTTTCGTTTTTGGCTAAAGATGTGTTCTTTAAAAAGCATACTGGGCAGGTTCCCAGCACGTAATTCTGCCACGCGGCACTGCAATGGTCGGCCAATAGCCTGGAGACTAGCAGAATGCTGCGACGCGGGCTGAAGCAATCCTTATAAATCGACTGATGACATCGCTGATTGGTGTCTTGATCGATGAGGGGCTAGGGCCTAAGGGTGAGGCAAAGGTTTTTGTGATAATGACAGCAGGAATGGCTACAGATTGCATCAGATTGCCATCCTATATCATGCGCAATTTTATATAGATTCTGGCCAAGCCTGACACAACCATGGGTATCACGGCTCCGGATGCACAGGCGCCATTGCCATTGGATCCATTGGCCGCCCAGGTGACTTTAAAAAGGCGGGAGCAGCAGCGGGAGCGGCCAGTACTTTGGGGTCTTTGCTGCCACAAAAGGTCGCTGCACGAAACTCCGGGTGGGGCATGGGATGACCTGGCGCAACGAAACGCAACCGTTTCGGCACGCCAAAATGTGGATCCATTGTTTTTCAGGGAAACAATCAGACCAAAACTGTTTAAATTGGGAGGTTGCTTTTGGGGTCGGATATTGATATGTTACTTTGTTTTCTTGATGTGTGGCCGCCCCGACCATGTTGATGTGACCTGGAAAAGTGCCTTGTTGGACTTGGCGTCTTTGACGTTTAACAGTTCGCATTCATTACAGAACTACCGTATATACTGAAAATGCAGGGAACCACCGACACGTGACCCATCGCCCGAAGCCTCAAAAAGACCGGTGGCAATAAAGACGGCCTCCCCCGGTCATGAATTAATCTCTAAACTCCTAAGCCATCCATTATAGATGTGTAATGATATGTACCATAAATCAATTCGCTAGCCTAGTTATGAACATAAAACCACCTTACATATCTGTGTGGGGCCCATTCTGAATCCTGGGCGATCAAAATCATCATAACTAGCTGCGACGTCACGTCACATGAATGATGGGTAGGATTTCGGGAATGACCCCTAAATGACCTGACTCTTTCAAGCTGATGAACTATCAGCCAATTTTACCTAGATATATAGATTGGCAAACATGGGGATGATACCCATTGTAGGTCATCATGGCAACATATGGCAACCCCAAAATAGATAGCTGAATCATCTATAGCATCTTGGACAACTCTTCTATACATTTTCTATCAGACCCCAACCCCTTAGGTCCCATCCATTCGTATGATATTTCCTCGGTGGTTGAGACCAGGAATCATCTGGTTGGTGGTTTGGAACATTTTTTTTCTCCATATCTTGGGAATTTCATAATCCCAACTGACGGTTCAAATCACCAACCAGTCATGTTTGTGGGTTCGTTCGCCCCAGTGAATTCCGCAGGGCAACTAAAGGATGACTCGGGCCCATTTCGTGGGATTTCCCAACCCACCCACCTCGACCATGATGAGGCCACAGAAATGGTGGATTGCCCCAAAGGTCCACCCCCCGATTTGGGGACAACGTCGCCCACCCATTTATGGCACCCTTCTGTAAACACAGAGTTCGATGTAGGAAACCCGCCGGGTTTTTGCATGGATTTTCCAAATGGTTATGTCATTTACCCCAAAGTAAGTCAGCTGGGGATGGCAGCTAGGCAGCTAGGCCCCAAGGAAACCTATGGAAATCTACTGGTTCATACTTCATCACTTTCCCAGATGATTTTGCTTATTCCAGGTACATCCCAAATCACAATTATATATATATATATAGGTGGTATATGGCATTGTTTTACCCACTTTTCACATCATTTTTCAATTTGCCCAGGTGAGCCCCAAGAAGTTGTTGGCTTCCACCATTGGCGCGGCGACCTTCCAGGCAGCCCTGCCACAGCTGGCCTTGCCGCGGGCACAGTCCGATGGGCCGGCGGACTTGGAGCAGGAGAAGCTGTCCTTGCCACCTGTGAAGCTTGGACTTAAAAAACCATCTCGTGGCATGTGTTGAGTTTTTAAGGGACCCCTAGCCGCTATGGAAATTTTGGAAATGGATCTATTTCTTGAAATATCTTGAGATATGGTTTCACACACACACAGATATATATATATATATGTATATATATATATGTATATATATGTATATATATATATGTATATATATATATGTATATATATATATGTATATATATACATACACACACACACACACACACATTTTTTCAATTGCCATTTTTCGCCCATTTTCTGCTAGAGGTGGAAATCCATTGGGCCCAGTGATAGCTTGAAGCCGCTTTGCTTTTTGGCGTTTGTTGCGAGCCAAGAGGCATTTGCTTTGTAACCAAATTGTGAGGCATGTTGGTTGACGAGGGGCAGCAGGGGGTTTGGTTTTTACCATTTCTGATCCGATCTGAGTGTTTCTTGCTTATGAAATATGCGGGACGAAGATTTTTGCCGCTGGCCGCTGTAAATGAGGAACATGGGTAGCACTGGGACCTTTGTATCAGACAGCGACCCCTCCTTAGCAAACACATCTTCTGAGAAGGGCTTCATGGCGGCTTCACAGAAGCCCGGCTGCAAGTGATCTGGCGATCCGGGCCGGGAGGTGCACTTAGGGGCGCATCCCAGTTTGCAAGTGGTTAGGAAGCATGAGCAATTAACCACTTTACTGGAGGGGTATATCAGCTGTATAAATGATATATATATAATAACACACACACACTATATACGTATATATATATATATACGTATATATATATATGTAATATATATATAAAATATACAATATATAATATAATATATATATATGCAATGTATATAATATACATAATATACATAATATATAATATATAATATATATACAATATATAATATATATATATAACATAATATATATATATTATATAATATATATATAATATAATATATATAATATAATATATATAATAATATATATATATGCTGTATATATATAATATAATATTATATAATATATATGTCTATTTTTTATAACATATAATATATATAAACTATCATAAACTGTTACATACTAACTTTTCGGTAATCATTTATTAGAGGGTTTAGATCCCATCTATAACTGGGTTAAACGGCTGAGCACGGCCTTATGAAGGAACGAGCTGAGCACGGCCTTATGAAGTGAACCAGTTGATGGTGGCCCCATGGTTTCCTGAAAACTCATGGCTGTCCCCCATGTATATATATAATACATGATACTAAAAGTTGGCAAAAGCCATGGTTCCCGGTATATTTGTAAAGCTTTCTTACCCTCCAATCTCTCTGGTATTGTTAAAAAGTCCCACAATTGATACATCTGCCCAGTGGTTTCTCATTTTTGTGTATATATATATACACTATATATAATACATTTATTCTCCAACCATAGAAATGTGCTAATGATCCCCAAAGACGAGCAGATGTCGCCGGGGTGACGTCCCGCGTTTCATCCTCTCTTCATCAGGCCCGCTCCAACGGCACAGTCGAAATGGAAGATGATGGCCGGGGCGGAGGGCCCTGAAGGGTTGCACTTCCGGCAGCCAAAAAAAAATACAGTAAGCTTAAACAAACTATGCCTTTTAAACACATAAGTTTTTGAAAGGTTCCTATAGGTTTTGCATGTCCTTGCGACCACAAGGGTTTGACCACTGCCTTGCCAGCTTCATAAATGAGCCTATCAATTAGTGGCCCGGCATCTGACGCAAGCACTGCATGGGCTTTGGACAATTTCTCACGTAGTAACGTTTTCGTACACCCAGTCATTGGTTGCTTGCACCCCTATAATTTTCTATCTCCAGTTTTTTGAAAACTCCATAAAACGTTCCCAAGTTTCATCCAGTTTCATCCAGTTTCTCGAAAATACTCCATGTTCCACATTTTCTCAGGAGACATCAGGAGACGTAACATGAACATGTGTTTCTACATTCTTTCTAGATTTTGGTAGGAAAATCTGCACCCTCCTTCAGCGCAGGCGCAGGCGGCCAAGAAAGACATGGCCTTCACGCAACCGGGCGAGGGCCAAGCGCGGCGGGCGATGAATTTGTTGATGAAGGCGAATGATGAGAAAGCCATTGAGGATAGGGATGTGGGGTGGAGGTTGGGTTAGTTGGGTGGGGTTTAGTTGGGCTAGTTTGATTGATTACAGTAGTTGGCTTGGATAATCCTGGCGGTTTGTAATGTTGGCTAGGTAGAAGTTGTAGGGGAATCTAGATACACTCGCCTCCCACCCAGAAGACATGGCACTGGAAAATGCCGTCGCATTTCTAGCTGTTCTTACAACACATGAGAATTCTCCAGCCTTAGATTGCCGGGAAAAAAAACGCAGACACCCAGGAGAACGTCGAAAAATTCGCGCAGAAGTTGGTGCCCCAGACGCACCTCTGGAACCTGGAGTCCTTCCATTTACACGGGAAAGACTCAATTTTTTAATGATACAAACCAGGGTTTCTGGTGAACTTTCAACCCAAAACCAACTCCGATCTCATCTCATTTGATTTTATCTCAGCGGATTTGATCTAATCTCTGAGTAGTTTATCGATGATATTTTCCATGGCCAGGTCAAACATTGCCAGAGGATACTGCTAAATTTCTCCACTGGTTCGTCATCATTATCCATATTAGAATATAGTCATTTTGTGGGGTACCCTCCGGTAATCAAATGTCTATAAATGGAAGCCTCAGGACAAAATCCTGGGTTTTCCATTTCTATGTTTGATTGACCGGGGGGTATGCGAACCGTTTTCAGATACACACACACACATCCCCATTTTGCTTGGCCAAAATCCCCATAAATCGCCAATCACCATAGGGGAATCCATGATTCCACCTATTTCAGTCATCATTATCATTTATCTCTGAAAGTGAAAGTCTGAAATCACCATGTTTCTTGGTTTCACAGGTTTAACATCACCATTTTTCCACATTTTTCCCAGGAAATGCGGGTTGATCCTTTAAAATGTGAAACCGGACAGCTCCATGATCTTCATGGGAAAATCCCATGGTGTTTCCGGATTTCAGATTTCCCGACTCCACATTTTCCATCGTTTTCCACATTTTTCCACATTTTTCCGAACATTCAATGGATTGGTTTAAGGGAACATCTACAGGAAAACACCATATTTGATGGGAAATTCCATGGTTTCCTGTAAATTTTCCCTTAAACCAATCCAACCAAGGAAGCCGCAGCACATTTTTCGCCAGGTGGACACCTTCGGTTCCCTCAGTGCGGCCTTCAAGGAGCTGGATCAGCACGACCGGGAGGAGATCACGCGATCCCAGTGGGACGCAGCCTTAAACGCGCGGGGATGGAACACCGAGGACGGGATGGCGCTTGGGAGGACGGGGTGTGTGTTTCTTTTTTTGGGGAAGATGGTGATGTTAGATGATGATAGTAGATGTAGATGTGAGTAGATATTAGTAGATGTGAGTAGCTGTTAGGAATATGTTTAAAGATGTTACGATTTTAGGAACCATGTGATTTGTACTGACTTAGAGTTACTAATTTGGGAAGCATGTCTTTTATAAATCAGCTGGGTTTGTGTTAGCAACATTTGATACCCAGTAATCAGCTCCGTGGCTTGCTGGGGACTTTCCACCATTAATAGTTGATGTCCCCACAATTTGTAGATTTCGAATTGATATTGCTGGAGGTCAACCATGTGATTATGAAAACCAGTCAGGTTAATGGAAAGTAGTATTGGAGACATCTTAATTTTTGGAAATTGAGCCGGGGCTTGGAAAACGATAATACACTCTTCAAGAAACGATAACATTTGCTATATCCCCCAAACCTGACTAAAACGATATTACACTCTTCAAAAATTGATGACTTGGAGCTATATACTAAATATTGATCGTGGCCCATATGGGTAATTCCAGTTAGTAAGGCGGTGCCTCATCCGGATAATTTCCAAGGACGGGCCAATCTACCCAAAGACCCGGGAATGGTGGGCAATGAATCCAGCAATGAAAGAGAAGATGTGGGATGCCCCGCACTGGATAGAATATGATATAATAATCAATTACCCTCTAGTAAACTAACATAGCGAACTGGAAAATCACCATTTTTAATGGGTAAATCAACTATAAATCACCGTTTTCAATAGCTTTTTGTATGTTTACCAGAGGGTAGGTCATGGGTTGTGAACTGCTTACCGGCCAAGATGCACATCCCAGGTTGGGTTTTTGGTTGGGGGGATTGGGCAGGGAGAGGGTATCAGGAAAAAAATAGGGATCACCTGATCAACAAGAAAAAACACATACCCTCTGGTAATTTAACGTAGCTATTGAAAATGGCTATTTATAGTGGGAAAATCCACTATAAATGGCCATTTTCAATAGCTATGTTAGTTTACCAGAGGGTATGTAGGGATATGTAGGGATCAAAAAACCATAGGGATCAAAAAGAAACCTAAAAGAATCTCAACGAGGGTTGGGGTGAAGGAGATCTTCCAGGGGGTTGGTGAATGGATAGGGGGTGGAGGTAATGATTCGGGTGCCCATGTTGGGTGTTGATAGAAAACTGCTTGGGGTCAGTGTTGAGATACACGTGTCCGAGTTGGTCGTTTGTTGGCAAATGCAGCTTTTTTTGGTGGCAGAGAAAGTGGCAAGTTCAATTTCATCAGTTTTTCAACTTGAATGATAACATGCCCTCACATAAACTAGAACACCCATAGGTAAGTGGCAATTAAGTGGACATAAGCAAATCCTTAGTGGTTTTCCGTTGGAAATGAGGGATTTCACCCTGTATCTTGCTTGAACTTGTTTTGTGTTGATCTTCCCCACGATGGTCGGTTCAATGATGTGCAAAATTCTTTAGGCCTTCCAAATTTCTCATCGTTGTTTGACATGTATGCACCACTATGAAGCAGCAGCTTGTGCTGAACGATGGAGACACTCTCAATTCCCGGGAAGTTGAACTGCCGAAAACACGTCGTCTCAGGAGATGTGTGGCCTTCCTTCGGCCAAGATTTTCTCGCTGGTGTGTCGGGCATCTTTGCAGTGGATTCGTGGAGGATCCCCTCCCCGAATCTTCAGTATCTTCTGGTAAACTAACATAGCGAACTGGAAAATCACCATTTTAATAGCTAACACATCTATAAATGGTTCATTTTCCATAGCTATGTTAAATTACCAGAGGTTAGATTATGGAAATATCTCTAAATGTATATCGTGATTTGTACCAGTATTACCATTAGTGATTTATTATAACTTACAGTATGTCATACCTAAATATTATAGTGCTTTGATTAATCACTATAGTGATTTGGGGGGTTATAACATGTTATAACCCAGAAAAAAACATGAAGATCATCGTCCATCATGCTCCTAGCCCATTTCCTACGTCTGACTTTGCTTACTTCCACGATCATCCCACTTATCAGATGGTTGGTACCCATTTCAGCCCATACACTTGGGGGCCGTGCTAGCTACTTTGAAGCGCAAGTATGCAGTTCCATTTATAAAGTGGATAATATATATATATATATGTGTGTGTGTAATATAGCCATAGTCATAGGGGTTATATTATATGCCAACTTATGGAGATTTATAGCCATGCTTATACCCATGCTTATAACCTCAACTGCACCCCTACAGTAGGCCTATTCTGAGGCATCCAAGAAACCTACGGGGGCGCTCACGTGGCCTGGCATCGCTTGGTGGGTTAGTTCACCTCAGTAAAAAAGGGCAAGTGGGGTTAACATGGGTTAACCGGTTAACCCTCCTACTCACCGGGATGAGCCAGCAAAATCACCAAAGATTTTATTGGTGAATGACGATGATTCAGCCAGATTCTTTGATTCTTTTGTGATTTTTTAAATATTTTTTTGGGGTTCCTTTTCCCAGAATTGGGTGAAGGGGCATCACATGTAGGTTGTGGAAGCCCATTTCGGTTGATGAACCCCCCATCCATTTAGAACAATGTATGGTTTGACCCAGTGCATGCCCATGATCTCCCGATGATATCTCAATTCTATCTCCATGAAACATCTCGCAAAAAAACCCATGATATATCATTTTAATATATACCATCCCCCAACTAACATAGACCCTGAAAATCAGTCGATTTGTTAGAAGAATGCAGTCTTCATCCCATGGCAGGCTCTATGTTTTGGGGGATGTCCCATGTCTTTTTTTTTTGTTGGGCTTATTGTTGCTGATGTCACCCATTGTTTTTCATGACTTGTCATAAGCATGATGCATTGACATGTCAACTTTCAATTTGCACCAATTTGCATATCCATTCATGCAGCTGTCCATAGCTGCCCCTTTGAGACTCAAGAACGCAACTTGGCAGAAAAGCCGAAGGTTCGTGCTGTGGGAGGAGCTGGAAGGGCACAAATCGAGAAGAGTAACAAGTTTATCCATTTCTACATAGCCGGACCTACTTGACTACGTCAGTAGGTTATGAGCCCAACGGCTTGAATTGGGAAAAGACATGGCAAACATGCAAAGGAGAAGAAGAGCAACTAGAGAAGAGTTGAACCAAGGTGAGGCTGAGATGCAACAAGCGCAAGAACGCATGCAAAGAGAGGCAGAGGTTAGAGGTGAACTTTCGCTTGAGGATCAACAAAGTGTAGGAGGTGGAAGGGATCAGGGAGCTGAAGGTGTAAGTGCACCACCAATAGAAGATGGTAGTTTGGAGAATTCCCAAGGAACCCCCAAAGCTAGTCCATCCGGTGCCCATCCAGTTTCCGGGTCAACAGTCCGTCCACCGACAATGCCTCCAGTGGATCCGCCAGAAGTTCCATCGGAGGATCAAGCGTCAGCAGGCATCAAGACCCCTGCAGACACCAAGGACAGATCTAAGGAAGGTGCAGGTGGCTCTCAACAGAGAGTGTCACCGAGCGAGCGTTTGGGAACTGCAGTTGAGGGGGACAGAGATAGAAGTGTAGGGTCTCTGGTGGAGCCACTTTTCACTCCTGAACAGGTTCAACATTTCACTGGATTGTTTTCGCAAGCACCATGGCTGTACACACAACCTCGATCAGCATTCTCTCCATTTTTGCAGCGTCCACAGTTTTTAGAACAAGAGGAGCTTAGAGCTAGAGAGGCATCAGAGAACAGAGATCAAGAAATGGAGAGGTTGAAAGAGCGTTTGATGCAAGATCAGCTAGAAAGAGAAGAAATGAGACAGTCCATGAAATTCCTGTTTGAGGAGAATCGTAGGCTGATGCAAAAGTTGGAAGCTCAGGAGAAACAGAAAGAAGCTGATCCGAAGTTTTCGACACCTGAAGAGGATCCAAGAAAGTTGAAGCAGGCTGGAGACCCCCAAAAGGAGGCTGAGATACCCCCCCGAAGCCAGGCTGCAGACCCCCAAAAGGAGGCTGAGATGTTTCCCCGAAGTCAGGCTGCAGACCACCAAAGAGAAGCCCGAAGCTTTTCCAAGGAGGCTGCAGACCCCCAAAGCGAAGCTGACATGTTCCCATGGAAGTTTAGAAGTGAAGAAAAGCGTCATCCTGGTCAAGACGGAGCAGGACAGAAGGAGTCAAGCAGTAATGAAAGTTTCGCAGAGCGATCGCTTGGCTTCATGGCGCTGATGATGGAGTCGATGAAGGAAATGCAAAAGAAGATGCTGGAGCCACGAGAGGAGGCTGGAATGGTTCGAGGTGTGGAAGTGGTTCGGACTGGTGTCATGGAGTTGCCAGCCCTTCAACAATGCAATCCAGCACAAGGACCCCTACAACTAGGAGATTGGTTGTTGATGATCGAACCAGTTGCTGCTGACATGTCCACCACAAGCCAAGAATGGTGGGGCGAAATGACCAAGGCAGTTGAGACTTGGTATCAGCAGCATATGTCAATGAACCCTTTGGATCGAATCTCTCATGAAGTCAAGCCCCCTCCTCAGCTGGTTCAAGATCGGTGGCAAAGACTGGAAAGGAGGATGTCAACTATGCTTCTTCAGGCAGTTCCAGAAGGGGTGCGAGATGAATTGGTGGCTGGACGAAAAGTTGGAGTGTTCAGCATCCTCACACACCTCTTCCTCACCTACTGTCCTGGGGGAGTCATGGAGAAACAGATGCTTTTGCGCAACTTGGAGGAGCCACCGGAAGTATCCCAGTTGGTTGAAGCACCAGCAGCATTGAGGAAGTGGCTGAGGTGGAAAACACGAACAGTGGAGATAGGGGCGGTGGTGCCAGATGCGGCATTACTTCTCAAGGGTTTGAACAAGATGACAAGAAAGGTTTTAGAAAGCCACAAAGACTTGCAGTTTCGCATACAGCTGGCGAGATCAAGCCTTGGAGTTGATACATCTCCCACTGAGCTGGCCGTCAGCCGGTTTGCCACCCATCTCTTGGCCGAATTGGACCAGGTTGCTTTGACCGAAAAACGTTCTGGAGGAGCTCCCAAAGTTGAAGGTCCAAAGCTGAAGTCCCTGGAAACAGAGAAGCAAGACAAAGGAAAAGGTAAGGGTCAAGAACGAGGTCAAGAAGGAGGTCGAGGCAGGCCGAGGTGCAAGTTTTACATGTCAGATGGAGGATGCAAGAAGGGAAAGCTGTGCGGGTTTTCGCACGACTTCAAGGATGAGAAGAAGAGGTGCTGGACTTGTGGAGCAGTTGATCACTTCTCCCCAAACTGCAGTCGTCCAAAGGGCTCTACAGATGGAAGTCCAACAAGGGCGAGGGTTCTGAAGACAGAAGGCGAAGGAAAAGGAGGAGTTCAGAAGGATGTGGAAAGCTCAAGCGTAGCAGGAAGTGAGGCAAGCATCAAGGAGTTGATGGAGGAAGCCAGTAAGATGTTGAAAAGTCTTACCAGCGCAAACACCACATCCAGCAGCTCAACAACAACAGCATCAACAAGCAGAGAAGAAGAAGGAAAGGAAGAAGTGATGGATCGGCTGCAGCAGCAGCTGAATGCGTTGAGGCTGAAGACATTGAGATTGAGAAGGTTGGCAGGTGGAGGAGTGCAGGGACTGTTGGACTCTGGCGCGACAAATCCACTACGACCACTGAAGCCGGGGGAGGAGACCACCAGCTACCGTCAAGTTGAAGTGGCGTTGGCCAATGGTGGAAAGACTCAACTGGCGATCACCCGTGGAGGCACACTGGTGAGTCCTGATTTGGACATTGAGCCGATCGTTCCGATGGGCTTGCTGATTGGCGTTCTGGGCTGCAAAGCTACATGGGAAGAGGGTGGAATCACAGTCATCCATCCAAAGATTGGCAAACTGCCGATCAAACAAAGTGAAGGATGCCCACAGGTATCACGTCAGTTGGCTCTTCAGCTCATTGAGGAGATTGAGGACAAAAAGCTATGCATTGGCGAGGTGGCATCCGACTTCACCAAAGAAGAGGCATGGTTGGAAAGGCTGATCAAAGAACACCCAGTGCTGTCTTCTTTGCCGTCTTGGATTCAAGAAGGCCTCAAATGCGAAGTTGGAGAATGGAATCACCTACCATGCAACAAAAGGATGAGAAAACGAATGAAGCGAGATGGCTATCTTCTTCATCTGTTTGCAGGTCCTGATCAAGGCTTCACGCTTCATCGAGCTTGGCATCAAGTTGGAGGAGAAGGTTGGCAGTTGTTAGAAGTTGATGTAGAAAGAGGAGAAGAACAAAATCTTTTGAAGTCCAAGCTCTATGGGGGGCTGATGAGGACGGCATTAGAAGGGAAGATTCGAGCCATCATTGGAGGCCCGAACTGTCGAACAAGAAGTGTGCTCAGGCACATCCCAGTTGAAGGACATCCAGAAGCTCCGCGACCAGTGAGGCAGTGGGGTGGAGAAGAGTTTGGAAAGAAGGATCTGACAGATCAAGAACGAGAACAAGTCAGAGGAGATGACCTGCTGATGTGGAGGATGCTCTTTCTGCAGATGGTGTCAACATATGCAGCAAGAGCGAGAGGAGCAACGAAAGATCCGTTGTTCAGTTTGGAACAACCTGCCAGTCCAAAGAGCTACAAGCCAGAGGTTGTGAGCTTTTGGGATACAAAGGAATGGCACAAGCTGAAGAAGGAGTTTGGATGGTTTGAGGAGACGTTCGAACAAGGAAGTCTTGGAGGAAAGTCACCAAAGCCGACGACCTTTGGAGGTTCCCTCAAGCTCACGGTGGAGGAGTACAAGACTGGCGATCGACGTCACCCAGAAAGAGTGAAAAGCTCAAAGGAGTTGTCAAGATGGCCTCCAGCATTGATGAGGATGCTGGCGACCGAGTTGATGAAGCAGGTCTACAAGATGGATCCAAAGATCAAACAGCTCTCTTGGCAGGAGCACATAGCATGTGGGCACATCCCATACAGAAGAGATTGCAGGGTGTGCCAAGAAACAAATCAACAATGCGCGCCACACAGAAAGACGCGCCACGTGATTGGAGGAGTGCTCTCCATCGACACGGCAGGCCCTTTGATTGGTGCCTACGACCAAGGAGGAGGAATGGCAAGGTACTTCTTGGTGGGAGCATTGAGATGGAGGGTGCCAAAAGGTCTGGAGAAGTTGAAGCAGCCGGCACAAGAGCCCTTAGAAGGAGATGAGCCGAAGATAGAAGACAAAGAAGATGTAGAAGAAGAGGCCCTGGAGGATGGAATCTTTGGCGATTTGCCACCAATGGGTGCTGACAACAATCAGGCACCAGGCGGTGAGTTGGCGGCTGAGTTGGGGTTGGGTGGAGGAGACCCAGTCCGCCTCGCTGCCCCGCCGCGGAGCGATGATGTGGCTGAGTTGGGGTTGGGTGGAGGAGACCCAGTCCGCCTCGCTGCACCGCTCCCGGGTGAAGCTGCCGCTGAGTTGGGGTTGGGTGGAGGAGACCCAGTCCGCCTCGTGGCGCCACCCGAAGAAAAAAGGCCAGAAGACCTTGAAGAAACAACTGAGGTGAGGGTATTCAGGTTAGCCCTACCCATGATCACCAAAACGGCCCGAGAAGTGAGCGCGACAGCCATGGAGTTTGTGCTGCGGCTCCGGGCGGACGGCTTCCACATAGGCCGAATTCACTGCGACAGAGGCCATGAATCTGAAGGAGCCTTCAAAAGGTGGGCTAGAAGCAGAGGCATCTATGTCACCAAGACAGCAGGAGACGATCCACAGGGAAACGGACGGGCCGAAGTAGCAGTGAAGGCCATCAAGTCCCAAATCAGGAGGACACTTCGACAAGCAGGCCTTGATTCAGCACATTGGCCTTGGGCTCTGCGCTATGTGGATGAGCTCAACCGGTGTGTGAGGAAGGGCATTCAACCAAGCTGGCCCCCATTTTACCAAGAGGTCAGAGTCAAGAAAAGAACATGGAGAAGAGGAGCCTTCGAACCAGTGGTCGAGCGTGTCCACTACCTGTGCCCCTCGACAGAGGATCATGGGCACTGGGTCCAAAAGCAGGGAGAACCTCCACGAGTCACCAAGTTCATCATGGAGAAGACCACAGAGCCGGTTGAAGAAGGCGCATGGATAGCGCTTGAAGGACGCATAGTGGATCCATGGAGCACAAGAAGAAGGCTGAGAGGAAAGACTGCGGTGAGGAGGGTTCATCCTACTTTGGATCAAGAAGGCGAAGATTCAGAAACAGAGAAAAAGAAAGAAGAGGTGAAACAGATCTATGCAGTGATTGAGGAGGAGATGAGAGGAATCGTGGATGAAGATCCAGAAGTTGCATCTGGAATCATACAGGTTGTTGCAAAGCTGCGGAAGATTGCAACAGCGATGGAGGAGTCAGAAGAAGTACTCCAAACAAAGATCATTTCACCCAAGGAGGTTTCAAGAAAGTGGGGGGAATGGTTGGAATCGGTGGACAGCGAAGTTCAGTCGCTGACAAAAGACAAGCAGGCCCTCAAAGAGCTGACAGCAGAAGAACATGAAGAGCTGAAGCAACAGGCAGAGCGAGAAGGACGGCGGGTAGAATATATACCGTCGAAGTTGGTCCATGTGGTGAAGGCAGGTGAAAAAGGGGGAAAAAAGAAAACAAGATGGGTTGTTTGCGGGAACTTTGAAGAAAAGAAAGAAGGAGAAGAGAACTACAGCGGAGGAGCTGATGCAACAGCTTTTCGCATTCTCATTTGGTGCTGCGGGAAGTTTCAATGGAGGGCTCAAATCATTGACGTGAGAACAGCATTTTTGAATGCTGATTTGGAATCTGGAACTCACCGAGGAAGAGAACCTTTTGTTGATTCGTCCTCCACACATCATGATTGAGAAGGGCTATCTCGCACCCAACACCGTCTATCTCCCTGTCAAAGCGATTTATGGTTTTTGCAGGTCACCAAGATTGTGGGGGAGGCATCGAGATCATCGTATGCACCAGTTTGTCATCAAGGCGGAAAAAGAAGGAAAGAACATCGAGGTCAAGCTCTCTCAAATGGGATCTGAACCCAATCTTTGGAAAGTTGTGCAGGTCATGGGGGAGGAAGAGGATGAGCTGGCTTCTTTGTCCAATGGCAGAATCCTTGGACTGGTGATGACTTACGTTGATGATGTCTTTATCGCTGCAGAAGGCGATCTGGTGGAAGCCATCACTGCGAAGTTTCAAGAAACATGGACGACATCCAATCCAGAGGAGGTGTCGGAAAAGCCAACACGCTTTCTAGGCATGGAGGTGGAAAAGATCTGGTCTGAAGAGAGAGAGAGAGAGCTCTGAGTGGTTTGTAACTCAGAGTGGTTACATCAAAGATTTGCTTGAAAGATATGATCAAGGAAAAGAAGAAAAAGAAAAGAGGATTCGAAAGATTCCAATCTCAAGGGATCTTGCCATCATGGAGGAGGATTCACAACCTCCAGATCTCAAACGAGTTCGCCAATGTCAACGCGAAGTTGGCGAGCTGCTGTGGCTGGTGACGAGAACACGTCCCGACATCATGTACACCATTTCACGCATGGGGGCACATGTCACAAAGTCCACAGTCAAAGTTTTGGAGGCAGCAGAACAAACAAGAGACTATTTGAGGGGAACATGGGATCAAGGTTTGAAGTTTGAAGAAGGAAAGGAGAAGGAGGTGGTCATACAAGTTTGGTCAGATGCATCGTTTGCACCAGAAGGAGAAGAATCACATGGCTGCTTCACAGTCATGGTAAACGACTCCGCATTGCTGTGGCGCTCGGGGCGTCAAGCCTCAATCACCTTATCCACAGCTGAAGCAGAGTTGAACGAAATCATCGAGGCCATGAATGCAGGAGAATCAGTGGCCACCATCCTGTATGAGTTGTTTGATGATGTGAAAAAGATTGCCTGGTCAGACAGCCAGTCAGCTTTGTCCATCTTGTCAAGTGAGGGCGGGAGCTGGCGCACACGCCATCTTCGAATGAGGGCATCATATGCCCGGCAGGCAGTCCTTTCCGGGGATTGGGCAGTTGGTCATGTCCCAGGCGAGGAGCTGAATGCCGATTTGGGCACAAAGGCGCTGTCTTCCAACCGCATTGACAAGCTCAAGGGTTTGCTGGGCATGGCACAAAGACCAGGTGAATCAAAAGAAGAAAAGGAAACGAAGAAGGAAGTTGGAGAAGATCAAAAAGAGAAGGCATCAAATGCGTTCAAAGTATCTCAAGCCGCCACCGCAGTCAAGCTGATCACTTTGGCTGCCATGATTTCTGTTGGGAAATCAGAAGAAGATGAGGAGGAAGAACATGGAGCGAAAGAACTCAAAGTAATGATGGTTCTCTTCGCCATCGCCATTGTCCTGTTGACCTTGTTGGGTCAGATTGTGTGGAAGGTAGGAGTAGGAAAGCTTCGCCAGGTCATCAAAGATCAATCTGAAGGAGCAGACCGAAGTCTCCCTGCACAAGGAGATCAAACAGGGGTTCAACAAAGAGCCCGAGAAGCAGTCCGTGGCACAGGGGGTGAGCAGGGGTCGAGCGGCTCATCTGAGCCCTTGGTCCGCCTCCCTCCTTCGGTCCGGGTGGAAGAGGAAAACACCACCCGACGGGTTGAGATGGGGTTGGATCAAGGAAATCCAGTCCGCCTCCCTGTCCCCGATGGAGAGACATCAAGCTCCTCGGGTGGGCCGAGCCCGGCTGCTGGAAGCATGGAAGCTCGAATTGAAGAAGAGCTGATCAGAATCATCCAAGAAGAAGCAGAAATGTGGAGAGAAATTCGACAGACTCCGCTACCACCAGTGATCATAGAAGAAGTGGAGGAGAACTATGCAGAAGGACTGCGATTCAACGTTCTTCGAACAACGTATGGTGTGGTATACCACAGTGATCGATCCTGCCGGCATCTACAAGGTCCACGAGTCGGACAGCCCCGACCATTCAAATGGTGTCAGGTTTGCAGAAGGGTTGCCTTGCAAACGAGGGGAAGGCCACCACCAGGGACTTCAATCTATCTTTCTGTAACTGGCAATGCAGCACACTCAGATGAACAATGCCCATGGATCAGAGAAGGAAAATTGACCCCGTTCTGTCAAACGTGCCGAGAACGAGAGGGGTAGTTTGTGCCACGGATTGAAAAATCCTTACGAATTTTGAATGGGGGAGTGCTGATGTCACCCATTGTTTTTAATGACTTGTCATAAGCATGATGCATTGACATGTCAACTTTCAATTTGCACCAATTTGCATATCCATTCATGCAGCTGTCCATAGCTGCCCCTTTGAGACTCAAGAACGCAACTTGGCAGAAAAGCCGAAGGTTCGTGCTGTGGGAGGAGCTGGAAGGGCACAAATCGAGAAGAGTAACAAGTTTATCCATTTCTACATAGCCGGACCTACTTGACTACGTCAGTAATTGTAAACATAAATAATTATTGATATTGTTGATATCAACCAACTTAGGTTTCTAAAACCAGTTTTTTGGTTACTAAACCATTCTTGGGGTATATATTCTCAAACCAATGTTCTGCTGATCAAAAAGCATGTTTTTTTGTGATCAAACCGTTTTGTCTGGCGATTAGGCACCCCTCTTCTTGCTGATCAAGAAAACAATTTGGGCAGTGATTAGACCCCCAGCCTGAGAAGAACCGAGGTTACCGGCCTGGAAGTCCTTCTTCCAAAAGTATCTGAATCGCACCGCCGCGCACCTCCTTACGGAAGAACGGCCCATCGATGCAGGTGTGGTCATGGTGGTGGCGGGGGATGGAAGCTGGAGATGAAGTGAGGGAAAGTGAGCGATTTTCGGGTTGAACTCTGGGTTTCTCCGATGTCTGATATTTTGTGACTTCAACTTTCAGTTTTGCTGGTTTCGAGTCCTAGTTACTGTAGTTTGTTGCTTGAAACTTGCCATTTCCTTTGATGATGTCCGAGTTTGTGGTCAAATAGTTCAAAGTTCGCCGTTCTCTGTTCACCTCCATTTTGTGCTATCGCTGTGGCAGACGGCGGCGAAACGTTGCTCCCAAGGCGTCTCCGACATGCTGCAGAAGTTCAAAGCACCGAACGCTGGTGGCGAAGGGGGCAAGGCGAAGACATAGAGTTTTGACGAGTTTTGATGGTGGCTCATCTATCTATTTTCATTCAATTCGTCCCCAAGGAAAACCAAGAAGAGCATGAGTTTCAGTTGAAAGGATATTTGCCCAGTGAATCTTCCGCTCCTTGGCTCCCATTCTCCGACCTTCAGCCCGCCTCCGATACGACGAGCGCCGACGGCATCTATGGGCAGAGGCGTGGGGCCTTCATCATGCGACCACCAGTACCTTGGAAGATGATGTTCCGAACGTGACTTTTCCCATCTTTGGGTCATCCTGGATGAAGGTGTACCATCTGGTTATGTCAAAATAACTATTGAACATGGCACATTGAAATAGTTGATTCACCGAACTTAAAGATGGTGATTTTCCAGTTCGCGAACTGTTAGTTTGCCAGAGGGTAACCTTTCTTAATGTGTTTTTTTGCGGGCCTGAATTCGTTGGGTCGGTGAATTTTCAGACTTCCCAACGGGGCACCCACGCAAATCCACAACGATTTGGGACACAAACTATCCCCATTGGGGAACCACCTGCGGCATGCCCAATTTCATAAACCATAAGTATACCACAAGTTAAGAATACATATTCATTGTGGATCCCGCATGATATGTTTGACGATTTTTGATGATCACATATAAGAACAATGATTTCCTGCACTTTTCCACTTTTCCCCAGCAATCAAGAAAGAGAGACCTGCTAAGAGGATCATCTATAGGTTCATTCTTACCAGTTTGGGGCCCGGACGGCGGAAAAATGGGGGATGCCCATGAAGTGACAATTTTAATGGGGAACATCAATGATAATTCATGGGATTCTAGAGTGTTCCCATGATTTTCAGACAATACCATGCTCATATTTTCTTAGTTGTATAATGTTATATATCTATATCTTCCCCCATCATATCCATGTATCTCATATGATGTTCCCAGTGTACCCTATTTTATACCAAACCCAAATCCCACCACAAATCACATCACACCCCATTGTACAAAAAAAATGGATCTTCCCATGGACTTCTCCAAAAAAAAACACGCATCTCATCCGCAAAAAACCCCAAGCAACCTTGCATGGATAGTTTAATCCTGTAGTTTTTTTCTAATGGAAAACCACCAGCCAAGCAACAAAAGAAGACATGATTTTTTTTTTTAAACATAGCTATTGAAAATGGCCATTTATAGTGAGTTTTCCCATTAAAAATGGTGATTTTCTATAGTTATGTTAAATTACCAGAGGGTAAAGATTGACCATGATCTGAGGAGGAATTGGCCAAGTTGCAAGAGTCTCAAGATACAGACAGTGACGATGAGAACCAGGCGTGCGGACCAGGGTGGAACCCACCATGGAGCATGGCAGGTAAAAAGAGGCGGACCATGGCAGACCAGTGGATCTGATTTTAATGGGACTTCGAATTCGGACCATTGGATGAAATGGGATTTAATGAGAACATAATGGGAACATAATGGGAACATAGTGGGAATATAATGGGAATATCATTGGAATAGAAATGAGAATGCAATGGGAATATACTGGAAATTTAATGGTAACAAATGGGACTATATTGGGAATATACTGGGGGTATAATTGGGAACATATTTTCAGGTTAGTGAGTGTTGTAGGTATGATTTAGCCAGATTCAATGGGTGGCTCCATGTGCAGTCCTTAGTAATGTGATATGGCGCACTGACACGCCTGCAATTTCACATGTTTTTCTCAAAATTGAGCGATCTTCTTTTCACCTGTTTTTTTTCCTCCCCCGTTGGCCCAATCTGGGGAGAACCATTATTTTTGTAGTAGAAAATGAAATCCCTTGTCGGGTATCATACTCCTAATCAATCAGAGGTGTTTTACAGTACCGATCCCTTTTGCTGACTAAACAAAACACATCAGAAACCCTAATGGAAACTATTGGACTGGGCTACTGTTCGAGTCCCTTCGTCAGGGGGTGTCATGGTTGGTTATGGTATGTTATGGGAACATTTCACATTGCGACCTAGCTGGAATGATGGTTAGGCCGCTTGGGGTAAGTGTCCCAAAATGGCATCTCTTTTCGGGTGAATGGATTATATACCATCTGGTTATTTAACATAGACCCTGAAAATGACAAATTTTTAGTGGAAACTAATCTTCCAACCCCCATTTGCCAGGGTCGATGTTAATTTACTGGAGGGTCATATTATAATATATATATATAATTCCAAGATATTCCCAACATCTTTCCATCACATTCCCATGAGATTCCCAGCCGCGCGACCTCAGGATGGGCCATCGCCAGCATCTCGACGACCCGCTGATCCTGTGATCACAACTATACCGTGATATCTTAGATGGGCGCACCATAGATAAAACCAATTTAAAACTAGATGGGTCATGATGGGTCATAAGCCAATTTACTTTACTGTCATCCTTTTTTATGGGTCATAAGCCAATTTAAAACTCGGGCGCACCTTAAGGCCGGCTCCAACCGCGACCGCGACCCGCACGGCGCCAACGCGGGCGCCAACGCGGGCGCCAACGCGGGCGCCAACGCGGACGAGGCCGGCATCCCTAGTTACAATGGGTGTAACTATGGGATTCTACGGTTTGAGTGGGATGATAATGGCATGTGAATGGGATGTCAATGGATTATGAATGGAATACGGACAAAATCACATAGTCATAGCTATTGAATATGGCAATTGATGATTTAGCTATTAGAAATGGTGATTTTCATTGATTTTCCAGTTCGGTATGTAAACGTTTACAAGAGGCTGGTGGCTCATCCCAGCAGGCAGGGTCAATGCCAGTTACATAAGTGGGGTGAACTAAGCCACTCACTTCGTGGGATGAAGCACTAAGTTGAGGTACGACTTTCAAGAAACCATTTTTTTAGTTTTTTAATCAGGTGGATCTATAGGACTGTATAATATTGTGTATATGTCTCTATATAAATAGAGATATCTTACTCATAATCAAACAATTAGTGCCACAATGAAATTGCGATCACCTCTAAGGTCAGTTGATGGTGATGTCTCCTCCCAAAGGGCCATTTTTGGGTCAGCAACATGGGCATCCCCGTGTTTGGGGCGACAGGCGTGTGTTGATCTTCCCTACCTGTAGCGTTGGTGATGATGATCCCTTTAAAGTACCCTCTGGTAAACTAACATAGCTATTGAAAATGGCCGTTTATAGTGGATTTTCCCATTAAAAATAGTGATTTTCCATAGCTATGTTAAATTACCAGTGGGTAAGTAAAACCCTGGGTTTACGCGTGATCAGACTATAAACCCAACGCATCCAATATTCAGAGAAATCTTGGGGTTAAATGACGAGTGTTTGCTATTTCTTGAATTTGAAAGCATTCAACTTCGAAAAGTTTGGGTCAGGATTTTGGACCTCCGGCAACCCGCGTGCAGCCCGTGATCTACCCGTGTTAGAAATGCCGTGCTTTTGTGAAATACCTGGGGTTTCCGAGTAAAACCCAGGGTTTCAAAACAAGCCTCGGGTTTTCCCAACCCGTGTGCAACCCGTGATTTAAATCATGGGTACGGACCTCCAGAACTGGCTCAAAATTTATTCATTTTCAACTGGTTCAGAAACCTTTTTTGGGGGTCTGGAATTGCCCAAGACAGACCACAATGACGAGATTGGATGGCAGGGATTGATTGCAAACTCTGGGTTTGAAGTCACAACCGGCTTTTTTTTTTGCAGGTTCCGATGGTCAAGGTACTGGTTGTATAGAGAGAGAGAGAGATCTATATATATATATATACATTATACATTTATACAAGATGATTCACCAATCTTTGATTCTTACTCTGGCTTTGCAGGGTGGCCGGGGTGCCGACGGCCGGAGGGCAGCTGGGAACGGAGCTGGTGAGGCGTGGCATGTGGGAAAAACATCGAAAAACGGGGGGAATTAACCACAAAAACGGGGATGTCATACCATTGAATTGGCACAGAATAGGGCAGCACTCTGAATTTGATCCGCAAAAATGGAATCCCGGGTTGCAGGTGATATGAACAAGACTATCTTCAATCAGCATTCGAAATCCTTCAACGAAAAAAAACATGGTTTCTTTTGACCGAAATATGTGCAAACCCGCCACTGGAAAGACGGTTCAGATTGGGGTAACTATCCCACAATAGCCGCTCTTTTAGTGAATTACTATAATCTATCCATATATGGGATTAATCTATAGATTCTTGAAATTTATGGGTGTATATATATAATGGCTATCAAATCGGGTTATAATATGTTAGAATGACTATTATATCTAATGGGAATTGAGATACCGTGTGCATTGTGATATATGTTTTCCGTCTTGTCCACAGTGCCCCGCCAAGAGCTTTCCAAGGGAACCAGGCAGACATGGAAGATCCACAATTTGCAGAACGATTTCTCAGGAAAACTCATTTCATTTCATTTCATTTCATGTCATTTCATTTCATTTCATGTCTTGCGCCCTGTGTGCCCGCAATGGCACCTCGGCGCAAAATTCTTTGTAATTTTCAGAGCTAGTTTGGTGAAAAAGGTGTGTGAAAATAAGCAGAAAGCCAGAATCAAAAGGGCAACGGGACAAGGATGGCAAACATCAAGATCTTCAGTTCAAAATCTCCACATCATCATCGGAATCGTCGGAAATAACAATAGCAGGAAGTGCTGGCATATTTCTCTGCTGTCTCCTCAACAACTCATGAAATTTGAGGCCATGTCAGTTTACAGCAAAGTATTCATCATATGTTTCTCGGTGAGTTGAAAGCACCTCACTATTTAATATCACTCAAAACATCCACACAGTAAAGGGATACACATAAATCTACAAATACTGTAAATACGTACATAAACTTCCGTAGTAAATGCATAGATACATACATACATACATACATACATACATACATACATACATACATACATACATACATACATACATACATAGATACATAGATACACAGATACATAGATACATAGATACATAGATACATAGATACATAGATACATAGATACATAGATACATAGATACATAGATACATAGATAGATATAGATAGATAGATAGATAGATACATAGATAGATAGATAGATAGATAGATAGATAGATAGATAGTACATACATAGATAGATAGATAGATAGATACATAGATACATACATACATACATACATTGCATGCATGCATGCCTACATGCATACATGCATCCATCCATACAACATACATACGACATCATATCCATACATACATACTACATACCTACATATACCATAATACATAGATACATACATACATACATAGATACATAGATACATAGATACATAGATACATAGATACATAGATACATAGATACATAGATACATAGATACATAGATACATAGATACATAGATACATAGATACATAGATACATAGATACATAGATACATAGATACATAGATACATAGATACATAGATACATAGATACATAGATACATAGATACATAGATACATAGATACATAGATACATAGAGACATAGAGACATAGAGACATAGAGACATAGATACATAGATACATAGATACATAGATACATAGATACATAGATACATAGATACATAGATACATAGATACATAGATACATAGATACATAGATACATAGATACATAGATACATAGATACATACATACATACATACATACATACATACATACATACATACATACATACGTAGCGTCCGTATGTACATATCTATATCTATATCTATATCTATAAATAAATGAACATATATTTGATTATAGATATGTTATTGTAAATTGGACCTTTTCGGCATTTTTTTGTTACTCTGCATGTGTCAAGGCTGGGGAGGACGATGCGACCCGCCGCGGCGGAGCCGGCGGAGCGCTCTCCGGTGACGCGGGGACTGAGGGCCGCGCCGGCCACGTGGCGAAAGGTGGCGAAATGAGTTGGGAAAGTCATGGAAAAACAATGGAAAACCATGGAAAAACCATGGAAAACCATGGAAAAACCATGGAACATGTTGGGAAAATGGGAATTGAACCTCCGAAAGTTGAGATTGAACATGCAACATGCAAAAATTGGGACTTTTTAGATGTTTTACCCGAAAAGAATGAGGATTGAACGTGTTTTAGCATAATTTGAGCAATAGAGACAGGGATTTTTCAGATGACTTAGCTGACATGGTTTTGATCATCCAAATGGGTAAACCTTGGTTGGGTATATCTTTTGGGCTCACATTGGCCATGCTGAGATGGTGACACTTTGGAGAAAAGAATGGATACACACACAGATACACACACATACACACATATAATCACATATATATATATGATTTTAATTATATATATATGATATATATATATATATATATTTACGGTTACATATATGATATATAGACCTATAATTTTGGGGTCCTCCTGTAGCAGTAGGGGCTTCCTATTCTTTACCGTCAAAGATAGGTAGTTTTCAGACATTTTTTGGCACAACGTGGATTTTCCATCCAAGGGGATGGTGGTTTCCCATGGTTTCCATGTTTGACAACGCCTGCAAGCTGGGGTTAGTGGGCCCTGCTACGGTCACTGCCCAGCTAGTAGCTGGGAAGCACATCCAAGTAGCACATTTCAACAACTAGTCAACTAGTCGACTGATGGGGTGTGCATGTGGTTTGGAAATGTTTGGAATCCTAATCCGGTCCCCTTTTCATATTTAACACCCCCATTCTATGGTCCCAAAGAAGCGTAACCCCCAACTAAACCACGCTTTCCGGGGGCTGTTGTTTTCCTGAACCGAGAAAGGACGGGCCGCGGGCCTCGGGGACGCCGGTGATGACAGGCGCCAATTGGGAGCGGGCCTGGAAGAACGTTGTGTTATTCCACCCAAAAGATGTATAGAGGTGGTATCCCCAAAATGGATGGGATTGGATGATGGGAAAATTTACTGGTTTAAGCCCTATATTTGATGGTAAAAACCATGGTTTCCTGTAGACTTTCCCTTAAACCAATCCAATGAAAAATGGATGGGATTGAATTTCAGCATTAAGAATTAAGAGAAAAAATATCCCTCAGAGCTGAAAACTGAAGAAACCTGAATTTTCGGGTTTGTTGGATAATCGGATACCTGGACGTTTTCATAGATATCATTGAGGCACATCCCAAATCGGCACAGAAAATGCAATTGGCTCCATGCAGTCTCACAGCTTTGGGGAAACTTTACAGGACCCCCGAGAGTATTTTGGGCTTAAACACTTCCCATTTTTTGAAATATGGCCATCCCCCAAGAGATAGAACCGTTAGAAATTCACCTGAATTTCTACGGATTTTACTTCAAATGATTCAAATCTATATTTTTCTATATTTTTCTGTCGCTATAGATGATTTACTTCAAACAATTATAGGACCATTCCATGGCCCCATGGATCTTCGCGCCAGGCACGGGGTCTGGGCCGGAGCCCACGGTGCCCACGGAGCCCACGGAGCCCACGGGGCCCACGGGGCCGGGCTGAGCCCTGGAGTGAGCGCCCTGCGGCTGCGAGGGGGGCCATGAAGGCTACGGGTGGATCTGTGCATGATTATATAAATATATATAATTGAACCAGTTGAAAATAAAACAATGATTCGACTTTAGCTATGGCCCAAACCATTATCAATGATTTAAGATTATTTAAGTGCCACTATTATTATGATTTATATATATTTACCCTCTGGTTATTTAACATAGCCATGGAAAATCCCTTATAAATGGAAGTTTTAATGGGAAAATCATCTATAAATGGGCCATTTTCCATGGCGATGCTAAATAACCAGAGGGTAAATATATATATATATATATATAAAACATAATAATAGTGGCACTTAAATAATCTTAAATCATTGATAATGGTTTGGGCCATAGCTAAAGTCGAATCATTGTCACCATAAGCTATTCTATTGTGATCCGAATCTATTCTGGTCATAAAATCTTGTCAAAAAATATCCGAAATCAAATCAAATCTCTAAAGCATTTCTAAAGCTAGAAAGCTCAATCTGAATCCATGGCTATGGGCCAAGTTGGTGGGATTCTACACAAACTTGGCTCCTTTTATGGTATTGAACCATCCATCTTGGAGGGTTTACCATGACAGTTCCGGCCTCATTGGCCGAGGATGCTGGCAAGGATGGGCCTGACGATGGCAGGTCTGGTTCGGCTGTTTTTTTCTGTGGGGGGAGGCTGTTTGGCCATACATTGATGGAGGAATAACTATGCTATTTGCTTCTAGCCTACCATAGTTATGCTTAGTGATCTTGGTTTTGTCGCAGCTTATCTAAGATTGGCCATTTGCTTTTCATGTTTGCATGATGTCCTGCGGAATATCATCCAACTTCCACTGGGAATCACATGCTGCAAATATCGACGGAACGAATCATTTTACCTTTTTTTTGTTCCAGGGTCATTGGTTTGGCAGTAGATGATCAACCACAGGTTAGCTGGTGATTTGGGTTAGTGATTTGGAATCTGAAGAATTCTTCAAGGGATTTGATTCCCAGCTTCCCGATGCGACGCATCATCCGTCGCCTGGTTGCAGATCCAGATTTGGTGATATCGTTTGGGCCTCAGAGATGATGTGGTAGGGATGCGTGTGTGGCCCTCCCAAATTGTGCAACACCTGACTTGAGAAGATTAAGATCAAACAGACATTCTGCACCTTTGATGGTTTTTTTTGGTTTCATTTATTCCCCAGACTTCTCCAAAGCCTGGAAAACCAATTGCGCCTCTCATAGCATCCACACCTCAGGCATCACTTGGGATCGAACCAAGGACTTGGACCTCCTCAGTGCCGGCAGCCAGAGCCACCTTTCCGACCCCAACGCTCCCCGCGACGGGGCCCGCGACGCGCGCGATGGCCGCGACGCCCACGACAGCCGCGACGGCCGGGATGGCGGCGATGCCCATGTGGGCCTGGGCGGCGTGGTCGGCAGCCGCGTGGCGCGCGGGGAGGGCAAGAGCGGCGGACCGCACGGAGGTGCGGAGGATGCGTTCGGGAACTCAGAGAAAAAAGGGCGGCAATGAAGGGAATATTTAGAATTTAGTAGAGGTCTTGTCGTATTTGGGTAAGAGCCCAGGTCGTTGCAGGGCGACCGCGCTGGGGCAAGCTCTGCGTTCCATGATCCACAGGTGCCCTGTTCTCATGGAGAAAAGGCAAGGGCCCCCTGTGAACGGCTAAGGTTAAGGGGATTCGGGGCCAGGACTTGAAATGATGACATCCACAACAACGATAAATGGATATGTTTAGAGAATGAGAAAGCCAACCTTAGGCATGCAGGTTTCTGGTTTTCGTTTCCTCTGGAAATATCTGGAATCCATCTCAGCTGAACATCAAAGTCACAAAGGTGAGACTCCAAAACCGCATGTCAGTGGTCCGCTGGATGAAGTCAGAGATCAAGCCAGGCTGGTGCCAATGAGAAGCGAGATGTGGACTGGGATAAAAACTTGGGCCATGGCACAGATGGACTTAGTGCAGCTGGTACGAAGCCGAAGCCTGCGGATGAGTCAGGAGATGCTGGGAAGTTGGGCTCCATGTGGCCCCTTTGATTTGGATACACTCTGGTGGATGGGTCATGATGATGGATGATTTTTCGCTGGGTAGGTTGAAGGATGATTCTTTCACGATCGTAGATGGGGTACAGCGAGCAGCTGAGGTTGGCCATGTGATGGGGCAATGTAATCAGAATGTCGTTAATTCGACTATACGCAATATAACTACATGATATTACATGATCACACATGCACCTTGACCCCCAAAGTACCCAAAACATGGCATATGGTCAACGAACCAGCAGTGGTAAAAGGTCTAAGTGGAGATCCCGGAAATTGTACTGTAGGGCCCCCTAGATCAGATTCAACACAAAGCCAGGATTCCTGAGAGACAATTGGTCAGAGGGAAAGGCTTCATACCCATTCTGTTATAGCAATGTTATCGCATTGTTCCTGAGGACGTACTCTTGGAGCCCCTTACAGTTTTGAAGTATTTCAACATATTTCAACAACCAGACTCGAGTTCTGCAGGACTGGCCGACCACGCCACTGATGGTCTCAGCGTTCCCAACCCCGACGCGGTCCCCGCAGTGTCCGACGCGGTCTCCGCTGGCGGCACCGCCGGACTCGGTAACGACCTGCTGAGCGTGGGACGCGAGAACGTGGCGACGTGGATGAAATGGGGGTGATGGAGGATCCCATGCAATGGTAAACTAACATAGCTATAGAACATCACCGTTGTTTTAAATAGGTAAATATCGAACTAAACGGTCCATTTTCATCCATTTTCCATAGCTCATTATGTTAGTTTCCTGGTGAGTAAGCCTGGTGTTTCGTCAGAGTCCCCGGTGATCGGTTGGTTTGCTCTTCCAGTTGCGGGAATGATCCAAGTAGACCCATATCATGTTGATCTCCTGCAAAGGGTCGAAGTTCCATCACTAAACCACGGTTATTGGGGCTAATTTTAGTATATTTTAGTATATCTTATTGGAATGGAAGTGTTGAGCAACCCCAAAATCAATCTTTTTCCAACCACTTCAACAAACCAATCACTACAACGACCTCGTCCTTCGAAGTGCGTCTTGGAGGATGCTCATCCCTGTGCCGTTCAGAGAGAAGATATCAACCATTTTATTGTGGCACCCCGAATGATGACCACCAGACATTTGCCGTTCCTGCTATCAACTATCCCATTTTGAGGCGGTTGATTCGTCGGTTTAGCACATTGCAACCGTTATGCAGTTATACCCTTAGGTGCAAATCCATCATGGGGATATAAGGTGATGCAGCCTCAAATCAACTTGGTAACTAGGTCCTAAGTTACCGTTGGGGTTAAAATATCCAACTTTCAATGGGAAACCCTAGCAAGCAGGCTCAGTTCTGAAGCATTTACGAATGGGATGCGACTCCAGGTTGGGGATCGAAACAAGCATGACTTGCTGGAAAATGACAACAAGGGTGAAGTTTATGGTGGTTTGCCACGGCCAGTTATACTGTACGCTCTTTGTAAATTGCCTGAGGCCTTCTTGCCTAAGAGCATGAAGTTTGAACCAGCACGAAAGGTGACGCAACTGGAAACGTGGTGAACTCAACAATAAATCATCCCCAATTATGGACAGTTTTACAATGTTTTACATCACCCCCTGGGGTATACTGAAAAACCAACCTTAGGTGACCTGATAGTTGCCAGATGCAAGGCCCACAAGGCGGTGAAAGAACTGCAACGCCCTGAAATTTAACATAACCCCCCAAAGTGAACTTTGCATTTTCCACAGTTCTTCTCTTAATTTTCTGGGGATTATTTGGTTTCTTTTTTTTTGGGGGGGGCGCCCTCCCTATCATCGGGTGTTGGTTAGAGGTTTCAAGCATGTCCTATTTCCCCCTTATTTGGGATGACGAAATGGCAAAACAGATTTTTCCAGGTGGGTTGGCACTACTCACCAGGGGGTTTAAGAAGTTACGTTCTACAGGGTTGACATAGGTTTGCGGTGGGTAGTAACCCCAATCTATAGGGCCTCTTAGTATTGGGGTTCCAATGCGGTTCCAATGGCTGATTTGCTGTACCAAGGTAGGACTTCTGGACGACGAGGAAGATGAACTAGACTCAGAGGACGACAAGACAGGCAACAGAAAGCAACAAGACCCAGATGACACCTAAAGTTAGAGAAAGTTGGCAAAAGTTATGGTGAATGTTTGGCTTCACAACCTGTCACATTTCGGATTACTATGGTGGCATCATCCAGCTGCCCATTGTGGCCCATATTACCCAGCTTGGATTTTTGAGAACCAGTGGCTTTGGAGCTGATGCGTGTTCCTGAAGGTAAATGATGATTTTTGATGCTGTTTTGAACACGTATTTGATATTTTGACCTATTTTGACCTATTTTTGATGTGACCCAGCAGCAAAAATCACCAAACCAGGAGCCAATCTTTGAGATTTCTACCGCTCCCTAAATTAAGACCCTGCCATGACTTGGGGGTTTGGAAGATTAGTTTCCACTAACACATTGCTATTTTCAGGGTCTATATGTGTAAAATTTGGTTTCTCTATGCTGCAAAGAGGCCACATGCGCATGTGGCGAAACGCCAGGAGCCCCAAGGAAAAGCAGATGATTTCCAGTCCATTGTGAAGCAGGCGAAGTTTCTCTATGGATTGGTCCGGATGGTGAAAGCTACCAAGCAATATGGCTGAACTTGGATGTTATGGTGTGTGTATAGATTTTATATGATATACAGGCATGCAAGTGTATTACAGTGACTCATGTCATCCATTCAATTACTTACTGGTGCTAAAAGTAGGGAATGGGGGAATGATCCATAATCACTAGTAATAATCATCCCATTCCCCCCTTCCCTACTAAGCACCAGTAAGATTACTAGAGCCCAGTGGCTGTTCCCTTTTTTTTCGGACCCGTTGCGCGGGGCAACGCTGCAGGTCTTTCGGCTGTATGCCACGGGGTATTCCAAAGGTCGCTATGCCCCCTGGGCTCCAACAGTTGATTTGATCCGGGGTTGACATTCTTGGGTTATGATCGTTATATACCCTCTGGAATAACATAGCTATGGAAAAATCACTATCTTTAATGGGTAAATCAACTATGCATGATCGTTATGAAATTGGAACCTGGGAGTATATCCTCATTTCCAAGATGTTGGAAGTGGAAATAATGGCCATTGGCCTTCTGCATCAGAATAGCTTTCTGTATCACAATACCTACCTGATAGTATCGGAGCCAGTGGCCCTGCTACTGATTGATTGGTCAACCCTGCAACCATGACATGGGTTTTCTAGATTCTAAATGCCAGCTGTGTAGGACAACCGGGGATTTTTAGGAGAGGAAATGCGCTCGCCATCAGCCATCCATGCTTTACTTTGGGAAATGTCGCCTTTCCTTCCACATGATGCAACATAGCAAGTGAGATACAGCTTCTGCGAGCATGACTATGTGTATGTTTCGAAAATTGGGGTGCCCAGAAAACAGTCGTTTCCCTCTCAAAAGGGATCAATCAATTGTTGCGGGATTCCCGATTCTGTGAACCCCCCTATTTAATCCAATTTATGCTCCTATTCTGTGAGCCCCCCTATGTCGTTTCCCTTATTTATAGATGTGCAATGTAGCTATACAACTTATGTAGCTGTTTAATCATCTACCATCTGGTTATTTAACATAGCCATGGAAAATCCCCAAAATAAATGGAGGTTTTAATGGGAAAACCATCTATAAATGGGCCATCTATACCATGGCTATGTTAAATAGCCAGAGGGTACATCTATTAGTTCTATAGCTACATTGCACAGGGGCAAAATGGACCATCGGTTCATCCCATTTCATCCCTGTCACCGAGGTCTTCATTCGAAATCCTGATCTCTCGCGATTCATGGAGGACCAGGGTTAACACTGATGAAGAAAGCAACAAGATTTGCACTGCCATCAGAATCAACATGACCAATTCCATCCAACATCATCCAACATATCACAGAACTCTAGCAAGGAAACCATTTTGCCCGAATTATCCTGGGATGCGTGGGGTTGTTTAGCAACTAGTTCATCGAAAACTTCCCTCCAAATTGTGCCCGGAATATGAACACATGAAATCTTACTGTTAATAACCCTAGTTGCAAGCCTTCTTTGGGGCGCAAAGCCACTCAGAAAAGCTTCATGCTTAACTTCCCCTCCCCTGTATTCTTCACAAAATGCAAGTTCCAGAAACTGGGGCGTAGTTACAAAACACTATAGCAATGCCTCAAAGCCTGCAAAGATAGAACAATAATGAATATGAACATATATGAACAGTAAATCTCCATTGACATATAGGATGGGACCCCCAGTTGTAAGTTGGTTTATAAACCATTATAACCATATAACTTATAACCCCCCATTAACGATAGTTATATCTACCATAAACCATATAGTTAAGCCACTTATATCTCAACTTTAACTATCTCGGGGGCCCCATCCTGTAGTGAAGATTCACTTTTCTATCGTTGTTTTTTAGCATTTTGGGCTGACTATTGGCTGGACTATGCTGTTGAATAATGGCAACGCCTTGCATCGTCAATGGGGCTGCGCTGAAGATCTCAGTTTAAGAAGTTCTGGCGAAGACATCATAGCAGATCATAGCAATCACAATGGGGCTGCTGCTGCTGATGATGCTGATGATGATAATGATGATGATGCTGATGATGATGCTGATGATGATGATGATGATAATGATGGATGATGATGGATGATGCTTGATGATGATTGATGATGATGATGATGGTGGTGATGATGATGATGACGATGATGATGGTGATGGTGATGGTGATGGTGATGGTGATGATGAAGGTGATTCATGTTAGATGCTTGATGATCATGATGATGGCGATGATTATGATGATGACGATGATGATGACGATGATGATGATGATGATGATGAGGGATGATTGATGATTGATTATTGATGATTGATCATTGGTTGGTGGTTGGTGATTGGTGATTGGTGATTGGTGATGATGATGATGATGATGATGATGATGGTGATGCTGCTGATGATGGTGATGATGATGATGATGATGATTGATGATTGATGATTGATGATTGGTGATTGATGATTGATGATTGATGATGATGATTATGATGATGATGATGATGATGGTGATGATGAGGGTGACATATGGTAGATGCTTGATGATAGATGATAAACGATAAAGTGAAACATTACTTTTTTCCAGAGCTGAAGGGAACACCTGCAGGAAGCCTCCATCAAGGCTAGAGTTTTCGGTTATAATTTTCCCAAGGAAACAAGTGTGTTGACATTATTCACGTCGCTTCGCGACGGCAACCGCCCGCACCGCATCGTTGGGCAGCCGCTCGTAACTGCCAATGATGTCGGCCATTGAGACCAAAAACATCCGAAAGTACTGATTGTCGGAAAAAAAAAGCGAAGAATTTGATAGCCATGTATAGCGGACCAACGCAGTTCAAAAAATAACGAAAAACATGAAAAAAACGGCGAAATTGCTGTTATTTACAGTGTTTTTGCGCGGTGAGAAGCAGAAACCACTGCAAATACCATGGTTTTTGAGGGTCAGGTGGCCAAAAACACTGTAATTTACAGTGTTTTTTTTAACCAACGTCAAAAAACACTGGTATTTACGATGTTTTCATTCACACCGCAACATAAAACAGCGTAATTTACGAGGTTTTTGGAAGTTTTGAAGCTAGCCGTCAAGCATGCAGAAAACAGAAAAACACTGTAAAAACCAGTGTTTCTGCTATCACAAAACGACGAAAATCAGTCCGAAAACGGGTCCCAAAACTCAAAAATCCGCCTCCGGGCCCGGCCACCTGCGGAACCGCAAAAAAAGATGTTGCAAACCAAAAAATTGAGGTCAAAAAGTTGAAAAACACGGTTTTTTTTCACTTTTCGCTTGCCGATTTTGGACGGGCGCGTTCACGAACAGGTGTCTTCCGTACTGTTTTTTACAGTGTTTTTTGAAGGCGAGCGTCACGACCTATCAAAAACAGGAGGTTTTGGCCGAAAAATGGGACCCCCCCCCCAGGTAAACCTGTAACCTTTTACGAGTGCCATCCGGAAGATCACGCCCCAGCACCTTCGGTGCGGGCGGATTTTTACTACTAGGTTATGGTTCGATGATAAGTCGTAAAAACATGTAATAACAATTTACCTGTTTTCACTTGCAATATCTTGCAATAACAGCAAATAAGTAAATAGTGATACAATTAATGCAACCAATAACATTTTAGAGAGAATCCATACATACTTATCTATACAAATGCATAATGCATAATGCATACTAATGACAATAACCATTAGCGTCCATTTGGCATCCATTTAGCATCCAATAGCCATGTATTCCTTTCCTTTGTCATTTCACCAATGACATCATCATCTACATCTGCCAGGATTCGCGGCACATGATTCCAGGCTACCGGCGGAAGTTCCGACGCTTCAGCCACTGGGATTTGTTCAATGGCCAAAATGTTGGGTTTCTTCTGGAGATTCTATACATAATGTATATGCATATATATATATATATTATATTGTATATAAATATATTGTTGTTTTTTTTGGGGGGGGTTGTCTGTGTTTGACACGCGCGCAGACAGACACACAGAGATATAATATATATATATACACATGTATATCTATACATGGCACATATGAAATCATGCCCCCAAACCTTTACAGTTGGACACCATCTGTTCAGAACAGGGGTTCAACCTTGAGATCTCCCACAGCCACGGTCCTCAGAACGGATCTTCGAGTCTTTGTTCGATGACACGATCCAACTTCAGTGTCCCTTGGCGAATGGTTTGGTTTCAGCATCACCTGGGGTATATTTTGCCAAGAAATCGGTTTTGGTGTCCATTTTGGTTGAAAACCGGGAGCAAAGACATGGTTGGTCTCCCCTAAGTGAACTTATTCGACTACCAAATGAGCAGTGAACAACATTTTTGGTGCTTAAAACCATTCTTGAAGATTCTTGTTTTCGGTTTGTTTCGCGAACTGGATCCCTTTTCTGGGTTGCCACATGGATAAATCCCAAAAGATATGTTGGGATGTTGCATTGACACATTTTTTTTTTCTTAGGGGTTGCTGAACGTTCCTAATGGTTTCTGAATCCCACCCTGAAAAACTCCGATTCTCTCAGCCCCCAATTCATGATCCAAGACGCCCAGGCGACATGCCCGGGCAAGGTGTGCGAATCACAGCGGGTTTGACTTTGGCCGGGGGCCTCGGCTTGGGTTTGGGGTTGAACAACCAATTTTTATGGTGGATTTCATGGGATTTCATGTGATTTTTGGGTATTATAACTTGTATGGGTTGATGGTTCGGGTGAACCCTTTGGGAGTCATTAAACTGCCAGTTTCTTCGGAAGTTTCGAGGAATTCCTGGCTCTCTGCGAGGACTGGTTCCAGGTCTTCGTGCAGAAAGTGGTGCGCCGTGTGGGGATGGAGGTGATGAGCTTCTTCGCGGCGCTTTTAGAGTCGCAACTCTACTGAGGGCCGTTCTGAAGGGCGGCCACCCATGGGTGGCCAAGGGCCGTGAGAGCATGGGAAGAACATGGAACCATTGGAATAGCATGGCTGGTAGCGATTGGAATGGTTGAATAACATGGTATAGGAAGTTCTTGGTGAGATGATGAAGCTCGAGTCTTCGGAACTGATCTAAAAAGTTGTATGGAAAGGTTGGTGCTGGAAGATGCTGGAAGATGCTGGAAGATGCTGGAAGAGCCATTTGCTTCAAACTGTTGGTGGTAGCCTGTGGGTGTAGGTAGGTCAAAGTTTCAGGATGTTGTTCTTCTGGGGTTTCAACTAGTAACTATACCTTTTCTTCAAGGCCACAGGGACGAGGATAGGAATCTTTAGAGGTTGGGCTGGCCACCGGTCAGTTGATCAATGGTAAATGGTTAATGTCATGCGGACGCGAAACCCAATCGTGAAGGACATGTTCAGAAATTACAATCAATGCACCCGAAGGGTTAGCCCATGTCCACTTTTTTGTTTCTAAATCCAATGGTGCTGGGTTTGCAGATTTGGCAGAATGCGTAGATGCAACGCACGCGTTGCAACATTAATGGCTCCGGGCACATAGTTGGCTTTGCTGGGTGCCTGGAACGTCCGTCAGCGACAGGGCAGAGACTATGGACTTAAGCTTCTTGTCAAAACTTCCAGAAGTGGTTGCGAGAAATAGGGGGCATTTACAAATTTTACAATAACCACTGCATTTGTGGGTAGGGCAACAACATTTTGTAAATTTAGACGAAGAAAAGACATTGAAGACTGTCATTTGGACACGGTGAGGTAGCCAGCGGCGCCCCCAAATCCACCTTAAAATGGATGGTCGTGAATTTCCCTTGAAGGTTTCTAAATGGATTTCCCATTTGCATCTTTTGGAGGACCACTGGAACACCTACTTTTTATGGCACTTTCCAGGACGTTGTCGGGTTGTGCTCCGTGCAGGAAGTATCTTAGGATACCTTAGGCATGATTAGGCATCTAATGATTGCTTTCGAGGCTGAGTCAGTTTCACCCGACCTCACTCCTACTATTCTGGACAACCTGATCTAGTGAATCTATAGTTACTGCCATGTCACCGAAAAATGACACCTGGGTAACATGTTGGGCCCACCCACTGCCAAGCATTGGGGTGTCATCCGCTGTTGGCTGTCTGTGCGGCGTGAAGAGTGCGTGGTGCAGGTCGCGGCGTTTGTAGCCGAGCCGAAACGGGGGTTCGCGCCTGACAGGCGATGTGATCAAACGTGGGGCCGATGAGATTTCGATGTGTAGAGTTTGATTCGATTCATGGCTTTCCTATTTGCACTATTGAAGCTCGTTTGAATATATTCATAGTATATTCATGCTCGATCATACTCGCACACGCACACACACAATAATTATATATATATATATAACGTTGTATATATACTGGGTCCGGGGCTCGTACATATTATAATTATATGTGTATATATATATATATACACACGCATATATATATATTATAGTTATTATTATACACATATATATATATATATATACATCGTTTTTTTGGTTGGCCTAAGATTTTCTTATTGGGTGTAACCACCGCCAGACCAGTTTCAAATAGGGTTTTCCAGACTGCGGATCGATGGACTTTTTTCGCCTTGTTTGCCTTGGAGATTCAGCCGATTTCAGCCGCTCCAAAGGTGACTCCCAAGAATAGTGGTTGTTGGTGGTGAATAACTTACTGGTAAACTAACATAACTGTGGAAAGATCCACCATGTTTAATGGGACAATTCACGAACTAAATGGCAATTTTCAATAGCTATGTTAAATTGCCAGAGGGTATATGGTTATCTTACTGGTGCGTTTTACGTAGGGAATGGATGGTTGAGAATGGGGTTGCTGGGATCATGACATTACTAGTGATGAAATGGATCATTCCCGAAAATTCCCTATGTTTAGCACCAGTAAGTATTAACCCTTTTTTTTTTGGGAGGTGATGAGGTGTGTTCCACGTTGAGTCGTTTTCTGGGCCCCCCTGTACAGATTTGGCTTGCAGAAACCATTGAGGCGGCGGAGAAAATGGTGGGAAGCCACGCTGCCGGAGCTTACCCTTTTTTTGGGGTCAGGTTGAAGGGAAATTCGCAGGATCCTCCATAATTCGATGATTTTGAATGGGTAAAGCATCAATGAAAGACTGCTGGTACACACACACACATATATATACATATGGATTACATATGGGTTCCTTCTGGTTCCTGTTGCTTTCTGTCTTACTTAAACAATTACATATTATATATTTATATATACATTGAATGATTAGCCGAAGCATGATGGAATTTGTGGTGTCCATTGCTGTTTGGCTTCGCTTGACGGTCCCATCGCTAAGCGCTGTCCTGTCAGACCCAGCTTTGGCTCTCGCAGGGCGGGACCCCGTTCTTTGGGCCATGTGTCACAGGGAGATTTCAAGACTAGACATATCAAGGTGCAACTCAATTGATGAGCTTCAGCACTTCACCCTTCACTTGTGTTTTGAACATGATTGAGCCGGTTCCTTCACCAACAGACCCCCAAATACCCCAAGCGTTTGAGTCGCGACCAGTGATTTCCAGTGAACGCTCTTAAGGCTACCTATCCTTTGTCTTGGGATGCCAGATGGATGCAGTGCACCTTTAGTTGTACCGTCAGCCTGACAGTATTTCTTCCCGCGCCGGTCGTGCCATGTGGTGAGCCGCGCCATGACGCGTCAAGCTTCGAAGGGGTCCAACGCAAGTGGTGGATCAAAAGGTTCCAGAGGCCCATGGGAAGCGCCGAATGGTCGGCCGAATGGTGACGATTGATAACTATGAAACGCTATAAATAATGGGATGATGACGGGATGAAGCAACTGCCGTATGTTGGTGATTCTGGATGAGTGAAGGCAAATTTCTATAGAAAACACCATGGTTCCGTGAACCATCAGTACTTTGAACACCGGTAGATGGACGTAGCACATATATGGAGCTTCTGTCGGGCCATGAAGGAGAAAGCAAGTTGCTAGTCTTTCATGAGTTTTGGATGGTGCTTAGAGGTTGTATCCCTGCAATCACCGCAACCTGACCACAAACAATGGTATGCATAGGAGCTGGCAACCAACCAGTAATGGGATAACTTTGAAACTATTTAAACTATGAATACGACAAGCAAACACCTGGCTCTACCCGGCTACAAACAAGAATGCGGGTAGTAGCCAAGATGCACAATGCTGCAATCATTTTTTTGAATAGTGTAGATTAATGTCAGCTCTGGATAGGTAAATACTGGCTGACAAGCTGTGGGAGTTACCCGAAGAGGTGATTTCATATAGCTAAGTGGTACGCCTCCAATTGAACTAATCAAGGGTTGACGCGACAACGATTTGAACATGGCAATGGCTCAAAAAAACTCAGCACTGTTTAGCACCCAAATTGGGTGATTTACACCTCAAAACATCTAAATGCTCGATCAAAGCATCTCAAACATGTTTTAGCACCCAACTTGAATGATTACAGCTCAAAACATCTTAAAAAACTCAAGTATTTGGCTTACTCAGCAAATGCAAAAAACTTTAAACTTTTCTTCCTTGGGTCCGCGCGCGCGCGCGCCCCTAACTACCCCAAAATAAGCTTGTTGTGGTGTGCGCGCGCGGACCCAATGAAAAAACAGTTCATTTCTTTTCTGGAAGATCATTAATGCATATTAATGCATGGCATTTGAAATATTGATACCTCAATTGTGTGGCTGTCAAAAAAGGACATCAATGAACAAGAAGCAGAACAATTGAAAGAAAATTCGGATGCTTCTTGGGTCTTCTTGGTTCCACCAAGGTTGATCAGCACCATTTATGTCCCCTGACTTGACCATCTTGCCGCCGCATTCTGGGGACGGGGGAAGGAAAAAAAATTGGAGCTTTCCTAAACTGCGGGTTCCCCAAGCCACCATAGGTTTCAATACTACGCACAGATCCGGACGTTTGCCCGGAGCCCGTGTTTTCTCGCACGAAACGGGCCTTCTTTCCCACGGACCTTCACGAAGCCTGCGAAGAGTTGTTGCCGCAAATGATTGTGAAACGAACCATGAAGCAGATTTCGTGTCGTGCGCGTGGCGAGGGGCCACACCTAGTGTACCGTCCATCCCTGCAAGGCGGTTAGAACCGCGGATGAAACATGTGGTAAAACAGTATTGTGTCATCATGGGCGAACGTTAGGTTCTGCGGGTGATACTAGAATAATATAGAATAATTATGTTCCAATTTCGATGATTTGGGGGTACCTTGAAGGCTTAGGACACCTCCATAATTTTCACCATGAAAAGATGGCAATCCCATGATCAATGGCCATTTGAGGTATTCCGATCCATTGGAGGTACTGTACCATATAAATCGTTATAAATCATTCTATAAATCCATATAATTGGAGCTATATCCCCCTTAGCCGACAGGTGAATCATCATTTTCCTTGCCATGGGGGTATCCCCGACAAGCCTCCCGACAAGCCCACGGCATGGAGGCTCCTCCTCTCATGGCCTGGAGGGTATCGTCGCTCGATCCATGTCGAAGATCTCCAGCTCCTGCTGTTGCTCGAGAAATCGGGTCGGGTCTTGGATGGTCTTCGGGCTGTCGACCCATAAAATCCATTAAAATCCCAAAGTGTTGCTTGTGACATGTCGTGACAACGTCATTTCCGGAAAAACTCCATGTGCAAAGGGTGTGTGGGTGACATGTATCCATCTAGTATCTGTTATAGTTTATAATTGATGGATGAATCCACATTTGTATCCGTGTAAGTGTTGGTGATAATCTGTTGGAAGTTCATGTGATATTCCAACTGTTGCTTTTCTAATAGCCAACATTTTGGCCAGACCTGCACTTCATGGGAGGATTTGTTTTTCCTGTAGGAATTCCAGCATCTCAGCTCTAGATTCTAGATGATTCTAGATTGATTTCGATGCTGGATATTTTCACTGGCTTGTTGTGCTGCGGATTGTCATATGTCCGGGGAAACTGAAAAAAACAACCATAGCCTGGTCGACCTGACCATCTATCATGGAATTCATTTGGTTCAATACGAAATACCATGATTGAAGGGTTTAGTATTGGAATTTACCAACTGTTGGGATCCAATACCAAGCATGTTCAATATCAGCAATTATCAATGAACGGGATACCTATACACTTTGAATGGTAACACAGGTGTTGAGGGTCCCCAAGTCTACTCCCATGAAAGACAGTTTACATATGGTGCAAAATCCCGAAAATTGTGTAGTCATTTCCTTAAAATAGGATATATAATGATATATACTCTTTTAAGTTTTAATTATCACTATATAATATCCCAATAATTAATGGATAACTATAGTCAACTCATTTCCTCAGCAGTTTGGTTCAAAACTCTCCCCTTCCCAACTTCGGGGGTCCCACGTAGTAAATGGGTGAAACAGCCCCAGTTATATATATATATATAATTATATATATATATAATATAACAAATAATATATTATATAGAAATATGCAAAATATAATGTTATACAACACAACAGAATGTAATATAATATGATCTGACATAATATAATATAACCCAATACAATATAGTACATTATATGTGTAATTATGTGTATATATATATACATATGGACAATCCTCTATGAAAATAAGGGATGAACCATGGGTTAGATATGGCAGTGGGTCAAAACCTTGTACCCCTGTAGTTCACATCAAAATAGCTGGGATTTATGGATGTTCATCCCTCTAAAAATGCTATTAATAGGTATTGATTCATAGCCATATGTAGATGATACCCTCTGGTAAACATACAAAAAAACTATGGAAAATCACCATTTTCAATGGGAAAATCCACGAACTAAATCACCATTTTCAATAGCTATTTTGACATAACCAGAGGGTAAACCATGGAATCCGATTCCTGGCCTAACCAGGTTGTTTCATCGCCTTGGAGCAGCTTCGCTCCCCACGCCGAGACCCGCGGCGCCGAAACTCGCAGCTGTTGTCCAGCGTGATTCGGCACCGCATGCTGAGCACACGGAAATCGGAAAACCAGGACCCCATTTTTTGGATTTACCCTCTGGTGAACTAACATAGCTATTGAAAATGGCCATTTATTGTGGATTTTCCCATGAAAAATGGTGATTTTCCATAGCTATGTTAAATTACCAGAGGGTATATTTGGATTTACCAACCCAAAATGAGGATTGAATGATGGTTTACAATCAATTTATGGACTTGGAAGGGTAATTTTATAGCAATTTTGGTAGATGGGGATTTAACTAGCAACAATTGGGATTTGTTAATGAGCAATGACCTATGGCTGAAAAAATTGGGGATAGATCCGTAGGCAACATGGCTGATGTATTGCTCAAACCAGTGTGGGGAAAATAGATTTACTAACCACAGAACAAAAACTTTTTCTCGGAGTATCTCTTAGATATCTCTGATAGACCCCCGTTTTACATAATATTGTTATCATTGAAATCTCTGGGGTTATTGACATTTGTTAACCATCGTACCCCCTTTTTTGGTGCTCTTATGTCCTGCATGATGGGTTCGTCTGAAACCGGCACCCAAGAATCCTGTGAGTTAAAAAGCCCCCATGTTCTCTGTTCGAATTGCAATTCTAGGGCCAACGATTCCCCGTGTTCAGATACCAAAACTTTAAAACCCATATCCCCCATATGGTTGCTGATATCCCCCATATGGTTGCTGATGGTTGCTTGCATATCTGCATATCCCAGTACATCCCATTATCATCCATTATCCATCACTATCTCATCGCTGTAGATCCCCGTTCCATCCCCCATTGAAATAACATTTGCTGCTGGTGAAAAAGCACCGTGAATCCCCTATGCACTGCTGGTTATATCCAATTATATCCAATTTTCTGGCGGTGATATCACCTAGTATTTCCACATACATCCCATGAATTTCTACCCCCCAACAAGTCCCCAAAAACATCCCGTGTCTGATGTCTTTCTCCTTCCGCCAGGACATTCACTCATTACTTTTGTGTCCTGACCCCTCGCGGCGCCTGGAACGCTCCTACGGCTCCCCGAAACCCTTGGGCCATGGCGGCTTTGGACACGTCTACCGCATGCGGCATCGGATGAGCTGCTCGAAGCGGAATGAACAAATACTTTTCGACGGGTTTTTTCGACGGGTGGAGGATGATCCTCCAAGCATCTGGCAGGGGATGGACGACTTCGATATCCCACACAACGGAGTGTGTTACGGGGCATCCGAGCTTGAAAAGGGCCAAGCTCAGATGGGTTTTGGGACATGGGAGTATTATATGGAGAACCACCAAGCGTGAGTGATTGTATTGAAACTCAAAGTTTTCTGAGGACTCCTTCTACTTTCCAAGTATCAATTATATAAATACACATATTTATCTGATGCACTGAATGGTACGTATTCCTGGCACATTTCGGACATTTCATGCGTTCGTTCATCCTTTTAGGCGGAGATATTCGAGCAATCAAAGTGACTGGGCAAGCTTCATGGCAGTCACCTGAGCTTCGCCAGAACTCATCCTGGCTAGTCACGGCTAGAAAGAGGTTACAGACACGAAGAAAAACCATGATATTTGGTTGGTATACAGTATATAATGTATAAGTCAACTAAAACGGTATATCTATGTATATATAATACCTGGCACATTAATGATGATAATGATGATTATGATGCATCATGTATTGTCCATCACATTCCATCATTATATAATTATATCAAATTATATCTGCCAAATACATGCAATCATTACCCATCATGTCCCAGTGGATAATGAAAGGAATTAGACAGAGAAGGCAAAAAGAGACAATGCGGGTGGGTGTGTGAAAAACAGCTTGCAAACCTGTGTAAAAAATGGGAACATCTAAGTAAGGCGACCCCATATCCCCTGCATTCCTATATAATGATGTTTGTTTTGCTTCCCATGCTTAGTGATTCATCACGGACTCATCAACCGCATGACTATCAAATCTTGAAACAGGTTGCTGTCCACCAGCACATCGTGACTCCAAAACGGAAGTTTTGCAACTATGTTGGCATACCCTGAAACTATTGAACTGTGGTTCACCTTTTTTTTTCAGTTTCACATTTGAATGTGGTGTGTGTGTGTGTACCATCTGAACAGATGTAAAACTTCTTATTGGTTTTCACTAATTTGCAGGGGGGCAGTGAATCTCATTCCATCCACTGCCCAACGAAGACGGTGGTTTGAGATTGTGATATCGGGACTGATCATTCCGACGTACCTGCGCTTGTATTTTTCCGACATAGCAAGGGGCCAAGCTAAGAACCCCACCCACAATCTTATACAATTTGCTGCACTGTTGTCGCAATCTGGAATTACTTTTGGTCATTTACTATTGATTCAGTTGCATCAGAACCTTCCTCAGAGCAAGGACGTAGAAAGCACCTATGTATTATTTTGTTTACATGATCGCCGACAACATCGTCGCCGATGGTATTCATCTAAGTTTCGCCGACGTTATTCTTCGCCGATGGTATTATTACTGGTTTATTCATTCTTTTTGACGTCGATTCTGAACCCTATGACCGTTCTGAAGTACTTCTATTATTCGTAGGATGCATTGTTAATTTCAGTGTTTCGTACTTAATCTGCATGTTTCAGGATTCAGTTCCTGCCGGATCATATAATGATCCATTCTTGTCTAGTGTGATTTCCATGGTGGCTCCGACATGGTGCCATGGAGCCAATTGAGGCAACCCTCTTCAGGGTGAGTGTTGACAGACTTGAATTCGGAATTCACACATTTTAATTTAGTAATTCATCTAAGTAAAGCGAAACAGTCAGCCTTTCTGTTCTGCACCTTTTGTGAAGTCCCGCGGCTCCTGTCGTCCCTTGAGATCCTGGTGAAATTCTCTTCCACGGAGTGACGTTGTGCCGAACATTCAGAAACCTCCTTTTTCGCAGCTGCTTTTGACGGTCCATGACAACAGCATTTGATACAGGAACCAGGCAGGCACACGACTTTCAGGTGTGGTATTCCTTCTTTTTGGTTCTCTGGTGAGGTGAAACATTTTGTGCATCTAATTCGATGGAACTTGGAAGCTGTTTTATGCCATTGCGGCACGACTTGACCACGGTCCCGGTGCAGGGAATAATCGCACGACTTTTTAGGTAGTTAGGGACTGAATCCTGTATGTGATTGTTCACTTTTGTTTTGATATACTGAAGCGATGCATCCGTGGAGCACTCCGCCAACATCATGGCCTGCTCCACCGCAGCCTTCGAACCCATCTTCGACGTGGCAGCAATCAACGCCGAATGCACATTTATTTGGACATCCCTCGGCCTTGCATCCTACATGGTCATCCTCAGCTTCGCTCATGCCGTCTACATCAACCCCAACATCGTTGCCGTTCACCTCATTGACTTCGGCTCCTCATGCAGTACCAGGGCCACAGCTCGTACCCACCATGCCTTCGCCTTTGGCTCCTGAACCAACTATGGTGCACACCGCTCCGTCGACTTTTCCATCTCCTATGGCACCCACCGCTCCACCCACGTGGCCTTCCCCTTCGGCTCCATCCCCTACATCGACTACACCACCTACATCGACTATGACACCGACACCTTTGCCCAGTTCTCCATACCCACCTCACCACGTTCAACCTCCATTACAGATGGACGCATCGACGGTCCCTCCAAATGAGCCTTCACCACGGCCCCCAGCAGTCAAAGCAGCTCCCAGGCATCGCTCTGACAAAAGACCGGATCGACCGCGCAGGCCAGCTCCGAAAACCCCTCCTCACGCTACACCACCGGCACCTACGACAGCACCGACTTCATCCGTATCACCTGAACTTGCATCCCTGGGTTCCACCGCACAACAACTGGCTGAATCTGTTCGACTTATTCAAGCTCAGCAACTATTAATCATGGATTCTCAACGGGCACAAGAACAGCGTCAACTCCTTCTTCAACAAGATGAACCTCCGCCGAATCCTACACCACCGATACCGCCACCTACACCTACACCACCACTGATCGCCACACCTCCACCTGCACCGAAAGCCAGACCCACCGAACCGGACGTTCCGGACCATCGCATTGTCCCAGCTCCAGCCATCGCTCCTCCTCACCAACCACAAGTTCCACCACCACCAACACGCCGACCACGATCCCGAACTCCAAGATCACGTTCCCATCGACCTTCGGTACATTCTCATCGCCATCGCTATTCTCCTCCACGTGCAGAGCGACCTCGTTCTCCTCTCCCTCGTCATCGATCATCTACGAAACCCGACAAGGGCCGCAGAACCCCATCTCCATACAGACGACGCTCACCACCACGACGCCGCTCTCCTGTGCTTCCTCGACGTCATCGATCTCACCCACGCCCACGCTCCGCGACACCACGTCACCGATCCAGAGGCCGTGAAGTCGTACTTCGACCTGCTGCAAACCCATCCAATCCGAACTACATCCCCACTCCCGATGCTGATGACACCTGGGGTACATGGAACGAAAGCCACTACACCGACACCTACGACCCCCACACTGCTCGACCCAATTCTCCTACCGATCCACCACCATCGGAACCACCAACCAACCCACCAACCCACACTTCAGCACCACTCGGCGCGGTGTCCTTCCGAGTTCCGGACGGCGACAGTGAAAATTCTGAGTTTGCTGATACAATTTCGCTCACCAAGTTTGACACGAATGACATCGACCTCGATGAAATGGTGGCGGCGGCCAATGACCCCCATAGAGTCCGTTGCCTGACTGAGCTTGGCCCCGATCATGTTGTTCCCCTACGCCAATCATTGACCCCGGCTATCTTGCAGCTCTTCAACCAATTTGTGGACGCGATGTTCGAACAGTTGGCTAAACCATACCGCACCGTCAACAATCATTGTATTTGGATCAAAGCAAGCCAAGCCACCGTCAGGAATATTGCCAGGGCCTTTGCACAATCTGACTTACTGGATATCGAACTCGCAAGGCAAACACAAGCCTTCTACATTGAGCCAGAGAACTTGCTGACCATCACGGTTCCCACAGGATTGAAGAAGAAACCAATCTACCGTGGCGAATACATGGGCACCTACCTGATCTACCACAAAACAAGTTGGGAATCAGTTGCCAAAATTCTTGCTGAAGACTGCATCCGCCCGGCAACTTGGACAAAAAACGAAGCCGGCATACCGACTCAATACCCGTGTTACGGGTTCTTCGGAATGTCCTCTGAGATCGCAGACACCGACAACCTACCCGGCTATGCTGTCAAGATCTGTACCTCTCAGCTCTACAAAATAGGCAAAGGACAAAACCCATCAGGCCTTCTGGCCATATGCCGCTCACCCAAATGCATCCGTGCCCTAGCTGGAGGAAATGACCAAATCCAACGCTTGTGCAACCTTGCGGGCATCGCTAAGGGCAAAGACAATGCAACGGCTATGAACTCAAGCGCCGCATCCATATGCTACGTAGCCTCCACTCACTCGGTTTTCCCGGGCTTGATCACACACCAGACGGCGGAGACCAATGCACCTTCGGAACCTCCTGATGATCATGCACGTCCAGTACGACCTGACCCTCCTGCCGACGCCCCAGAACCTTCGGAGCCACCTCCAAACGACTCTCGAGATACACCTCGCCACCGCGAGACCGCTGCGTCTGGCTCTCGGGACTATGCTCGCCGATCTTGGCACGACAATGCTTCTTGGGACAATTCAACCTACAGCCGCCGAGATCGCCGCTCCTCATACTATGAAGACCATTCTCGCGACCAGCACCATGAAGGCCGACCTCGTTCTCGACATTCGACCCACCACTCCAAATCTCGTTGGTGAACTATTTACCCTTGAGGAGCACCGGAACAAGTATCGACTATTCTACGTCAGCGATACAGTGAGCCTAGTGGCCCGGCCCGATCATTTTGGAGTAACAATGCTTCTCCCGACATTCGGTATTGCCGCCACTTCTTCCTCAAAAGGTTTGTGAATCGCTGCATGCTCATGTTTTTGATCCTTTCGCCCGATTCGTTGCCACTTTACGTTTCACACACTGGGACCACGTATTATGTCTCACACTTTTTCAATTACACATTACCCTTGTCTCACCTCGACATTTTCCGCAGCTTTCAGTCGGCAGTTCGAGCGCACTTTGACCTATTATCTCGTGACCCTCTCTACATCATGGCGTCCCAGGACCTGATCTCCCAATACAGCGCGGATATGAATGGAATTCCTCCTTCCCAGCCGGATCGCTCGCGCACACCACCTCGTCATCAACATGGATGGCACCAAGCAGTACCGGCTTTCCGTGGCCCGATGCACTATGCCATGACGACCCATCGACCCTTTTGGAACCCATCCGGAATACCGCCTCCGCCACCTACGTCTCCATCGTTCCCAACACGCCCACCATGGACTTCTCCTACGGCACCTTTTCCGCCCACGCCGCCTCCGAGCTCACAGACACCTCCCAACAACGCCAATTTTGCACC